ATTTCGATAAAATCATTGTTAGTTAGCATCTGAATATAGTTTTCAAACTCCACTTGGCGGATGTAGATGCTGATGGATGCTGAGTGACCTGTCCTGCAGGCACAGAAGCACCTGCTGCAGTGTTCATAGGCCCTGGGTTCTACATTACCCAGACAGGCAGGGAGGAGCTGGGGCTGCCATGGTGTCTACCACTATCCACAGAGTCCTGCCCTTACTCCTCTTCCCTAATTTCTTTCTAGAGCAGCAATGAATATGAGGGCTGGGTAGACAAAAAACAAAGTACATTTCTAATCTAAGTTTCCTCCTTTTTTAAAGAAGACCAATCTCCTGAATTAATGACCTTCTTCCTTACAAAGGTCTGAGGCAAAGACTACTTACCTAAAATTAAATAGAAAACTTTTGCTGGTGAACCAAAATAATGTTCTTTCCCTAATACTTTTGATGTTTCATAAATCAGAGATTCCTCTCAAGCTGAGACAATACTAATAAGAGTGCTAAAATAACCCTAAATTTAGATCAGTTTGGAATTACCCGAAATCTTAGAAGGAATCCTTTACAGCAAGGACAGAAGTCAGGGATGATCAAACTGACTCAGAAAAGTCTAAGGAAGCCTCAGTGTGTCCATAAATAGCATCATCATCCCAAGGCTTAATCAGAGTTGAATGCTTGGGTGGAACAAAGAATGTATTGTGAAAATGTGGAAACCCACTCAAAGGCTGTGATTTTAAAGAGCAAGTTATCAGTCTTAGAGGTCGAAGACAGCTGCAGTCATCTGATTACTGGCATCAGCACCGCAGAGGCTATAAGATAGCCCTCATAACATCACCTAATCCCCAGGATTTTGAGGATGCCATGACGTGTAACCCTGTGATAATTCTCCTGCAGCTAAGCAGATGATTGAGGGGGGGAAGCAACTGTGGAACTGCAGAATGTAGTTGAGATTTTGTAGAATATTAGAGCTCAAAAGAAACCTGAGGGCACCCAGTGATTTTCAAAGCATGTTTATCAATAAGACACCTTTTTCCCCCCAAAAAGAATTTTAACTGAAAATCTAATATATGCCATGGAGTAAAAGAGAAGCTGTTCTGGCTGAAGCTGGGGGTGGGGGGGAGTTGGCTGGAGCGTTCCCCATGTGACTTTCCTTCGCCTCCTGCCCTCTTCGTTAGAGAGAATCAGGGGCTCTGGAGAATATAGTTTAAATCCACTGCTGAAGTCCAACAGTTTGCAGGGGCAGGAACTCAGCCACAGAGAGGCTATGTGTGTGCTAGAAAGGGGGTGAGCTCTTGATTCTGACAGTCCTGAGTTCAAATGCCCAGCTCTGCTGCTGATCACTATGAGTGTAAGCTTAGCAAATGGTTTAACCTCTGTGGGTCTCAGTTTCCTCATAGTAAAATGGTAACATAGTTATCTATCTTGGAAGTAAGCATTAGAGATGATAACATGTATGAAGTCCCTGGTAACTGGTAACTAGTTTACCTAGTTTTACGATGTTTGCCTAAGGATGCATCACTAGTTAGCAGCACAAGTGGGGTCAATGCACCCAAACTTCATGTATCCCCTCGCTTTGCTCAGAGATAATCTTCACTCACTCTCTCTCTTCTTCCTGGCTATCTGCATGCAACTTGTATCCCATTAGCTGGGCAACTAGCCCCAAAGAGAAAAACAAAAACAAGAATCCAAGGCACTTGAAATGAGCAGCAGGAAGGAAATGACTTTTATTGAAATAAATATATGAAGAAATACTACACCCTAACAGAAAAAGAAACTTGCCAGCAAGCCGCTGCCTCATCTCAGAATCTTTCACTTGATGGCAAACATGCCTCCTGTCACTCTACAGGAATTTCTCCAGAACCCTATCACCAACTTGCTGTGATGTCATTTCCTTTCTGTCAGCGGTTGTGCAAACTCTGTTTATGTCCCTGGACTAAGATTCAAGGGTGTGGATGCAAAAATCACAAGTAACGACCAGAAGTCAAGAGTTGCCTACCTGTCTACTATTTACTGTAACCTTCTGCAAATAAAATGGGCTTCTGACACAATCCACAGTTGTGAATGCAGGCAATTCTAAGCAGCCAACTCTACTACACCACACAGAACCACCTAGAGCACACATCGAAATGCTTCATGAACCTTGACCAACCCTGAGGCAGACACAAGGATTGTATTCCTGGGGACTTCTAAAGAAAATACAAGAAAGTACAACATTGGAATAATTTTTAAATTGTTTACATCTCATTACATTACTTTATATGTAGTGATTTAACTAAATCTGTTCAGCTATTTTACTCCATCTATGTAAACCTGATGAAAGTATACAAACTACCAACTCTGACTTCAGTCTGTAGTTTCAGACTAACTTTTTGCAGAGGGCAATAAATTTTGGCCTTTTCAGTCTCTACAGATGATGATCACAATTCAATTAGATATTTAGTTTATAAAATATAGAACTTAAGACCTCTGTGACTTTTGGGTATGTATGAGTATAGGCAAGTTATGAAAGAAAAAAGTAGGAAAAGTTTTAAAGTTAGGAGTAATTAACCATGTTGTTACCAGAAATCAATGAATATTTTTTATTCAGCTAGTAATTTGATGAAAACTGGATAAAGTGATATTATAGGTCCTCTCATTTTTCTAGGTTCCAGTCTTTTAAAATGTTCAATTATAAGGGAATTTATGCAACTAGACTTATGATTATCTTTTTAGTGTAAATCATCAGTTGTAATGTGCCACATGTATGTTCAAAATAGCAACCCTCTTAAGTAGTGAAAGCAATATAACTATCTAAGGGGCAGGAAGTCATTTGACTCCCAATTCAGTATCATATTTCTAGTTGAAAACACTGCTTTACTGCCTATAAATTATACCTGGCACATTCCACGAGATGAAAGCATGCTCCTCTGACTATAGAGAAGGATTTGTCAACTGCCTTCCACTTGGCAATTTCTGGTTTTCTACTAGACTATTCCTTCCTTCCCTTCACATACCTTGTTTAAGAAGTTCAACCGCTGCTATCCAAACAACATAATTTTTCAAGTAGCAAGCAACTTAGCATAATTCTAGGGACCAGTGAAACGATACTGGATTATCCATCAGAGTGGACATACATGTGCAGACACACATACACACACATGCATATAGACACATATATCTAGTGCAACCTAAAATTCCCTTCAAATCTAAAACTTAATTTCAAAAATATCTATAGCTAATGTGATCGTCTTATTAAGCATGGGTAAGTAGGACATTGGCAAAAAAAGATCATCTGGTCTTTGTAATTCAGTCTTTTCAGGCATTAGTGCTGGAACATAATTCAGAAACTGTTAAATTTTTCTCTGCATTTTAATGGTAATTTAATTTCCTTTCCTCCCTTTAAAAGCAAATTAAAGAGCATTGCCATTTCATTTTGTATCACCATAAGCCAAGAAAACTTTGATGAGTTTAAAAATATCACAGGGGATTAGGTCATAACTCATCAGTGCTTTCTAGTACAGACACGAATAATTTACCATGTGAAACTTGTTATGATAACTTGATTTACACATAGGAAATATTAGCCTGTGACAGAATCAAATCATGAAAAAAAGTATGTGTATAAAATTTTCACAGCAGTTCTTCCTGTCTGCTGTATCTGTGCATGCGTCGTCGTCTTGCCTTTTTAAATAAATCTCCCCTTTTAGATATTAAAAAAAAGAATTTTCACAAACAGTTGTAGTTAAGAATGTATAAACAATATTGAAATGTACACGTGCAATACAGACACACAGATTAATGTTGAAAGACATCTGAATTGGTCACAAAGACATTTAGTCCATTGTATAAAGACTACACTCTTAAAAAATGAATTTGCAAACCTTTTTTATTGCTATAGATCTGACTTACAGATGCTTTAATAATTATTTTCCTCAAATAAGATAAGAAGCCCACAGTCACCTCTTATCTTCAAACTCCTTAAGCTAAGGAATCGAAAGAGATGGAAGGGAAGCAGGGAGGGAGAGGGGGAGGAGGGGAAAAGGCAGGGGAGGGAGAAAAAGCCTTTTTCAATTTCCACAATTAATTACATTGAAAATGTAATTAATTCCTTCACATACTCAGAATCACCTTATCCTGACAAAGTAGTTACCTTATCCCTGTAACATTAGAAATGATAGAAGGAAACAATAAACATAATTTCTGTTCAGCACATCATGATAAATGTCTCACTTTACCCCCAAATTCTCAATGGATTGGCTTTTTGTCTCCTGAAGAAATAATTTGCATTGCTGACTACAAGTCCTCATTAAAAGCCCCAAATTAGCCATCTGACTGAGGCTGACTTTGAGGTTTAGCTGGGGAGATAAAAAAAGTAGCAAACTACTTTTGGGCTGGCTTTAAAGGGGAATTGTCAAGTTTATTTACAATGGACTAATGGGGAAAATACAAATACAAATAACTAACAAATGATAAAACACCATAAAACATTGTTACTAATGTTGATGATCAATAATGTTGATAATCAACTAATGTTGATAATGACAAAAATTGTAATATTCCAAATGCTGATATTTTTGATCCACAAAATGAAGCTTCAGGGAATGCAAATCAACAAATAGACAACTACAGGTTAGCTTCGCTTAAGAGCTTTGGGGAAAAATTCCATCAGCTCCAAAATTCTACCCTAAAGGACGTGACAGAGGCTCACTGAAGCCTCAGTAACTTTTGCTCTTGTAATAGAAAATAAAGTTGACTAAATTTTTTTTTGAGGTTGGAAATTTGCATTTATTTCAAAATCTTAAAGAAATTATATTCCCCTTTTTCCTGAGAATTTGATATATACTATTAAAATCATCTTAACCTCACTGCAATAGAGCAATTTAAACTAAAAATTTATAAATGCTGTTCCTCAAGAAAAATTGAGATTAAGAAGGATGTATGAAACTGTACATGCATTCAGTGGGTTCAAACAAATATGTTAAAAAATTGTTTTACTAAAACATGGTTATTTGGACTAAGGTTGAAGTTACCTCTGGTACTCCTAATTTTCGGCATGCTTCCAAAAAGTTTTCCACATTTCTTCTGCATTTTGCCATGCTAAGTTTGGGCTATAAATGGAAATATGCATAAATAATGAATTATTAAAAGAGAAATCATTTGAATATAATGCTAAATTTTCCCCTCTAATAACACAGAATTTCTTTTTTTTTCCCACCACCAACCCTTAAACCTCTTCAACCCATCCTCCCTCTCCTGCCCAGCCTTAGAAACCTCACTTTGTTTATGAATGTTTGTAAGTTTATAATTATTTTGTTTTGTCAATAAATCTGCTATGGTTCCTTATTTTACTTATATATGAAACCATTCAATATTTGTCTTTATTTTGCAATAATGGGAACATTATATCTTTTCTTAGAGTTGAGTAATACTGCATTGTGTGGATATACCACATCTTCTTTATCCAGTCCTCTAACATTGAGTAGTTAGGGTGCTAAACTGGTTAAATTGTAAATTATACAAGCAATACATGCTTATTGGAGGAAAAAAAACATAAGTAAACAAAAGAAAAACTAACCAGAAATACCCAAATAGATATAAGATCTGTTAACATTTTGGATTCTATTTATGCAAAAATGGTGTGTACCCATGTGTGTATGTCTATACAAGCTTATACACAAATATGTGTATATACATAAAATTTTTGCATACATGTATGCACACATATATGTATGTTGAGTATGTATGTTTCTCTGTGGGTATACACACATACACACACCTATCTGTGCACTCACAATTTTTATGGGAACATACTATTGTGTAAACAGTAGTATTTTAGCTCACCTGAAAATACACCATAAACATCATCCTTTCCCACATCAGCAAATATGTTTCTATATGAAGGATTAAATTCACTAGGGCAATTAAATGTCTTCCCACCAAAGCTATCACCTTAATTAGAAAGAAGTAATACACTGACAATGGTAGGATGCACAGGGCTTAACAAAGGGCCTCTCACAACTGACTTGAACCTGACCAGATGACCTCTAAGATGTGGGACGCATGCCAGATACATCTTATTCACACATTTCAGTGTTCATGCTAGATTTTAAGAGTCCACTATCATTTTCTTTGAAAAATAAGTAAGAAGCACCACTCATGCTAGAAGTTGAGGAGTAGGAGTGACATTCCACAAAGACTGACCTTCCCGTTAATACCAAGTGAGAGTGGAGTGACAAATTCCATCTCACAGGGCCCCAAACCAATCACACCAAACCCAAATTTGTACATGCTCTATTAGGGGAAAAAAAGACTCCCCCTATTCCTCTCCCCAGCCTCCCACCCATAAAAAGGAAAGAAAGTGATCTTGATACCACGTGGAACAAATTAGTTTGGAGGCTAAGCGAACTTGCTCCATCTTGGCTCCAGAGGAAATGGTGCCCTTGAACATGAGCCCTGCACAGATGGGCCAAAAAGTTGTTTGGGTGAATTTACCCACCCCTGACTTCATGCAAAGAGAAGGAATAGACATTTATGGATGTCTGCTTGCTTAAGGGAATGTGACAAGGGGATACTGGGAGAATAGTTCCTGGTCAGGCAGCTAGGATGAGAGTCATTTCATTATACTATGACTATAGTATTTGTCTTTCTGATCCTCTGAGCCCATTATCTTCTGTCATCTACTTATGATTTAGGGGAGGGTCTTGTTCTGACACTCCAAAGACACCCAACACCATTCAAAATCTGCAGGCCAGCCCAAAATGTGTTTCAGCAACATAAAGATTTCCTGTTTTTGGAAGTGAGGGAGGACCCATTCAGATTGTTGCTTAATTTCAGCTAGAAAAGCACTTGTTACCAACACAATGGTTAGAATTTCAACCTCACCTTTACTCAAAGGAAAAAAAAAAATACACCAATTATATCAACTTGGATACCAATGCAAATTGTCAAAGACTGAGGACATCCTCTTCCTAAGGCTCCTAGCATATTGACCATGACAGTGATTCTGTTTAACACTGTTTTTCCTTCTGTTTGACATAAAAGTAAATGGAAAATAATTAGTTTCATGAATGAAAAGTTGGAATGCTTAATGTTGGCAATAACACTGGTAGGAAAGACCCTGTCATGTATTGCGGATGGTGCAGATAAGATCATATTTATTAAGTACTTTCTTTGTATCAGACATACTACAAGGTGCTAAAGATACGCCCGTAGAATGGGAAAATACAATTCTCATAGCCACTTAGCTAGTTCAGTTGGAAATATGAATAAGTGGAAGGAAACTGTAGCCCAGTATAGAATGGGTCTCAGTTGTGGCAAGGTGGCTATAAGGAAAAGACAAGCAAGTCCAAGACTGAGAATGACTTGCCTCCTGCAGATACTAATGTGCAGGAGAAATGAGCTGGCGTCTTCTAAGGTGAGGAGATTTGGAGGCAGGGTGGGGAGCAGCTTTCTGGCCAGGAGAGATCAGCCTGTGCAATGCTAGAGTCTAGGGTAATAGCACAGACTAGAGATGGGAGCAGATTCTCCATCTACACCCTGACCAAGGGGCTTCAAGACACTCACTGAAGAATTTTTGATTAGTAAATATTTACAAAGAACCAGCATTCCTAAAAAGGAAAGCTATAACATAATTAATTACATTATTTAAAATGTTACTGTTATTAAGATGAATTTTAATGATGTGGGGAAATCCTCAGGGTTTGATAAATTTTAAAAGTACTGAAAAGTGCATATGATAAATTCATAATTCTAGCACAACTTAAATGTAGAAAAATGCTAGTAGAATGGCAGGGAAAATACTAGCAATGATTTTCCTGGATAGTGAGACAAAGAATGATTGATTTTTCTGCCTGCATTTCTGTTTCCTCTTTTCTCCAAACTGGAGTTATTTCCCATTATTTTTTTTCAATTCTTTAAAGAAAAAAAAATTATTAACCAAAAGGTTTCTAAACGAACATATTATTTTTTCTAATGAATTAACAAGATATGTATATATGTACACATAATTCATAGTGTCTTCTTACATCTCAGAAATGAAAATTACATCAATACATACAAACTGGAGACTAAGAAGACACAGTTTCTCTCTTATAATTTTGGAAAAATAATTACATGAGAATTTGTTATATGGCTTATCAAGTTTATCAAAAATAACTTAAAAAAAGGAAACTGGCTCTTCAAATAGATTCATCAGCTAATTTTTCCTGCTACTAAGAGAAAAGAAACTAGAACAAATATCACCACCATGACGCTTTACTGGGGAGAGGTATGGGGGCAGGAAGCAGAGGGATTTCATGTGAGGTTTACACTCAACACACCTACTATACAGTATTTTATGAATATTGTATCTTGAAATCAGGCTCTGAATTTTGAGAATCTGCTCCATAAATATTAATGATAACAATGACTTACACTCGTGTGTATGGCACATATGGCACATCCCATTCTCACCAGAACACTCCCATGAGGGGGAAGAAGTCACAGATAGATAAAATAATTTGCCCAAAGTCATACAGCTTATAAGCAGATCTGGAATCTGAATCCAAACCCTACATTCTTTAGTCCCTAAACTCTTCTGTCTCTCCTAATGAATAACAAATAGTATAGACAGATAGACTTCTTTCTTTTCTATTTATGTCAATCCTATGTAGGCTCCAAAGTCAAGCTTATCTCTGATTCCCCCACCCTCATTTAAATGATCATGGAACTGATTCTGCAGTCTCTCTTCTGGATGGTAACATCCTGGGGTATACAGGAAAGGATCCCATGGGCCAGCCTTATTTATTTTACAAGGAAGGTAAGAATGTTGAGAAGCACCATCCCTTTGTGTCCTCAGTATTTCCGATGAACCCTGAACACAGAGAGTGACTGAAGAATTGCTGAATTAATAACTGGCTGATCAACCTCTCGCTTGATAGAATAGTCATGATTTTACACAGAACCCACATATTTCCAGAGCTATCCCTGCTGACTAATAAATGGAAAAGATTCCATTTAGAAGAAAAGTTACCAACCTGAAAAAAAGTTTCTGAAAAGACATCTCATTTTTTAAATAACCCTGTGTGAGAAATGAATCTTTATGTCCTTAGAGTTTTAAAGCTAGCATTCCAACCAGCCATTATTTCTCTAACATGATTTCCCTTATATTTGAAATAAATGCTTTTCTGTCATTTACATATTAATTTTAAATCTTTTTACAATGAAAATGTTACTTCCCTCAGACTGTTCCTTTTCTGCTTTTCTAGTTGAACATGGCCCAAAAGGGTTTGAGCAGAGTCCTGGTGATCTTACTGGCAGCTAAAACCAGCAACACTGCTCCCATGTTATAAAGAACAGTTTGTTTTATGTAAAACCTCGTTTCCCTTTATGTGGTGTGACCTACCACTGCTGGTGAAGGGACATGGATGCTCGCCACGGAGCGCGGGCGGATGTGGTTGACCAGGTGGCAGAGGACCACGCCGTCCATGAGCGCAGCCCCCAGGTCCTCATGCAGGCTCACCTTGAGCCTCATCTCGATGCTCTGTGGGGACAATGAGAAGCAAGACAACGGCTGTCAGGCAACTGAGAGTAAAGTATCATTACAGCTGTTTATGAATTCTGATATCCCATTTTGCTATGGGGGAAAAGGATAAGAGCACCTGGAAAACACTGACATTATTTACTGATACATCTCCTCCAAAGATATAAAGGAAAACTTCTGTAGAAAAAATTGTTGAGCTGTGTTTAACATTTTTAATTAATTGGATTAAAAGAAATAATGGAATAACTCTTTAGTTCAATGCTGTCTTGGTCTTGACCATGAAGATATAAAACCAGAATGAGTTAAATAAAAACCAAATCCAGGGCCTCCCTGGTGGCGCAGCGGTTGAGCGCTGGGTTGCGAAGCTGCCCGCAGCCTCTGCAGCGCCGGTTCGGTCCCCGGATGCTCCCCAGCCACTGGAGGAGGGTCCCGCATGGCGCACAGACCTCTCCTGCCACCCATGTGCTCCCCTGAGCAGTGTACTTTGGTCCTTCTGCCTGCTCTGCTCCCCGCTCTGGCTCTGGTGAATTCTCTCACTCTCCCGCGCTTCTGACTGTACCAAGTGCTGGCATCAATCAATCAATCAATCAATCAGTCTTTAAAAAAACAAAAAAACAAAAAAAAAAAAACCAAAATCTAGCTAGTTCAGCCAGGCTGCAAGGAGCAGAAGATAAAGGGAGGCTTTTCTCTTAGATTATATTCTAGCTGAGAAATTTTTCTTCCTCTTCTCAAAATTTAACTTGTTTTTAGATAACTATTACTTCACATGCAATTATAATAGTTCAAAGAAATCCCATGTACCCTTTACCCTCCTCCCCAGGTAGCAACCTGCAAAAGTAGCTACAATATCATAACTGGGACACTATTGACAGAACATTTTCAGCATCACAAGGATAGCTCATGTTGCCATTTTATAGCCACACCCTCTTCTCTCCTACATCCAAGTATTCTTCAGCTCCATCTTTCTCCTTTCAAAACTCCCTTGGCATAAATGTTACTATTTTGTTACATTCTGACAGGTCCTTGAGGATTATTTTCAATCCCTTATATTTTGTTGTTCAAATTAGGTGATTTCTATTGTTCTTTCTTCTAGTCAATTCATACTCTACTTTGCCATCTCCTTTCTGCTGTTAACCTCATCCACTGGGCTTTTTTTTTTTTAAGATTTATTTATTTATGCATACAGGAGCTGGGGTGCAGGCCAAATATGGCAGGGGGGAGGGGGCTTGGGAGGATTCACCAGGGTCAGAGTGGGGAGCAGAACAGGCAGACTGACTGAAATACACTGCTGAGGGGAGCAGCGGGCGAGACAAGAGAGGTCTGCTGCGCCATGTGGGTAGCTCCCTGGCTGGGATCAAACTCATGTTGCAGTGGTTGTGTATAGCTTCAGATTGCTGTGTCTTAACCCTTTGCACTACCAGGGATCCCTCCAGGCTTTTTATTTTAAATAATTTAGTTTTCTGTTCTAAATTTCCATTCGATTCCATCAGGTCTTCTATTTCCTTACTAAGATTTTTTTTTTTTTTTTTTTCTGGGGTGTTTCTTTTATTTTTTTCCTTTGTGTTTAACCAAGTCTATAATTAGTTTTTGAGTCACTTTTATCATGCTTGCTTTAAAATCTCTGCCATAACTGTGATATCATCTCTTGATTGCCTTTTGCATTCAGTTTGAGATTTTCTGGTTCTTGGTAGGACAAGTGATTTTTGGCTGAAAACTGGACATTTTTGTGTCATGAGACTCTGGATCTTTTTAAAGCTTCTATTTTAACTGGCTTTTTTGGATACGCTACAGTAGGGAAAGGGGGTTACCACCTTGTTACTGCTGAGTGGATTTGCACCTGGTCTCAGTTGTCTGGGGGGTGGAAATACAGGTTCCCCATCTAGTCTCCACTGATGCCAAGGAAGGAGATGAACTCATTCCCAGCTAGGCGAGGGGCAGAGGGGGTGGGATTCCTGGCTTCTGGCTTGGCCTTCTCTGACCCCATGCCAGCAGGGGTGGGGTCTTTGCTGGCATGGGTAAGGGTGGGTCACAGTTTTATGGCGTGTTTAGCTGGAGTTCAGTGTTTTTGTCTATAAATTTTCTGTCTTGCTGAGCTGCCCTTTTTCTGATGTTTTCACTAATGTAATACACTTGACATTATTCACTTTATCACTAAATTGAAACTTCAGTAATCAGAAGGATCCAGGCATTAAGATGAAATTATTTCACACTTTGAGAAGCACAGCTCAGCTTCTGATGTTACTTTCACAAATCTCTGAAAGTTCACTTTCCAAATAAATACTCTAGGTAAATGACTGAAGTGTGACTCCTGGTGTAATTGCTGAATCAACCAGCAAGTGCTGGGAAGAGGCTCTGGTGTTTTTCATCCTTTCTTCCTGACAACCTGCTAAACCACAAATGAACTGTAACAACAAAGAAGCTGACAAATCTTAATTTAACTCTAAATTACAAGGTCGCTTGCTCATATGTAGAACTTGCTGCTATCTAAAATTGCATATTTATTTGCTTCCATCTCATTTACTGTTTCTTCCTAACTGACTGCAGACTTCAGAAAAACAGAGACCTTTTTATTCTCTCCTCTAGCCATCATCTAGAATACTGCATGGTGCACAGGAGTCAGCAGTCAATAATCATTTGCTAGTGAAAGAAGATAAAACATATGATCTATCTCCTCCAAGTTTTCTTGTGCTCTCTTTTAGTTCACAGCTATGGTATTTCTGTTTGAACATAAACAATCTGTTAGCAATTTGTGATGTGTTGTCTATAATAACTAATGTCAATGAACTGAAACTAGTTGTATGTGCTGTGCTTAAAAGTCTGCTTAAAAAATATAAATTGCTGGGGCCTCCCCCGTGGCGCAGCGGGTTGAGCGCAGTGCTCTGAAGCTGTCCGCAGCCTCTGCAGCGCCGGTTGATTCCTGGCCAGCCAGGGAGAATTCCACATGGCGAGCAGACCTCTCCTGTCTCGCCCGCTGCTCCCCTCAGCAGTGTACTTCGGTCCTTCTGCCTGTTCTGCTCCCCGCTCGGTCTCTGGTGAATCCTCTCACCCTCCCGCAATTCTGGCCTGTACCCCAGCTCTTGTATAAATAAAATAAATCCAAAAAAAATTTTAAAAATTAAGAAAAAGAAATATCACAAAAAAATATAAATTGCTGCTTCCACTCTGAAAATTATTACTCAGTAACATATTTCCTGGATACCTCACGGAGTTGTTCCACCAATTCTTTTTCTTCTCTCAGCTGTTCCATTTTTCTCCGAATTGTAAACTGAGGGTCTATAGATTCCAAATTTCTCTGAGGTCTTAGAAACACTATAACAGAAAAGGGAAAAAAGGCCTTTATAGAGTACCTGGCACATGTTGGCACAAAGAAACATTTATATTTAAAATAAACACTTCTTTCTGAATCATTTCTAGGATATTTGAATCAGCACTTTTATGCACTATTGGAAAATCAGAAAATTTGCACATTTTAATAAACACTTGATTTATATAGTTAAAGGAGAAACAGGATAATCTAATGTACACAACACCCTCAGAGGGGATATAGCCTGGGATCGGGGCCTGCCTCAAGCCACCCACTGAAGTCACAGGCAATAAAAAAGCCAACCATGGCATGTCACCAACGGGCTGTCACCAAGGTCCAGCAAAACCAAACCCCACAGGAAGTGAGACCAATTGTTTCAAAAATTAAGGCAAGGTCAGCAAAGGAAGTCTCAGCAGGGAGAGATGAGAGGTTCATAGAGCAAAGGGAAATGAAGAAAAGTTTGACAAAATAGGAAGCTTGGAAACACACTAAACTTGCCTCTACATCAGTTCTAGCCTAACAAAAAAAACTACCCAGTTAAATGTAGCAAAATGTAAAATTGTATTAAAATTGTATTTTTTTAAAGATTTATTTATTTATGCATACAAGAACTGGGGTACAGGCCAGAGGCCTGGGGGGAGTGGGAGGATCCACCAGAGACAGAGTAGGGAACAGAACAGGCAAATACACTGCTGAGGGGAGCAGTGGGTGAGTCAGGAGAGGTCTGTTGCACCATGTGGGTACTCCCTGGCTGGGGATAGAACTTGTGCTGCAGTGGCTGCGGATTGCTTCATAGGTTATGTCTTAATCCCTTGCCCTACCAGGGAGGCCCTGTGTTAAAATTTTAAACGTAAACTCAAGAAATAACCCACATCCCAAAGAAAAGAAGTCTACCAAATTTACCAAAAAAGTCAAGGAATGTGGAGAGTTGAATAATACACACACTAGCTGGCAAGGGGGCGCCCCAACACCACTGAAACAAACGTAATGTTTTCTTTGGAGGTTTTATTTTCCTTTGCTTTTTTTTTCTGGGGGCAATCTTATCTAATACTGCATGTTTAATATTTTCAATATGTTTTTATTGGCAGATTTTATTCTGAATATGAAACTATCAGGAAGTTAAATTAACCATGGGCTTTTGTTAAACAGCACACAATTCAAGTATCTACGCCTTGTTAGAGCCCTATGTGAGAAAACAAGATATGCAGTGGTGTCTGGGTTTTAATTCTCTGGTGGCGCTATGCATCTTAAAACACAAAATTCATGTTTTAGTATTTTCTCTATGAATGTAAAGTAATTAAAAAGTGTAAAAACACATTTGAACTGAGTTGAATACTTCAACTGTGTGTAAAATTAGAAGTTATTACTGTAATATTACTAGTTTTCTAAATATATTAATTATTGTGGAATATATGAGAATTTAAAAACAACAACTTTAGGCTAGTAATGTATCTGCGGAGTACATGCATTTGTCATGGCAGAATAATTTGCATGGGACATTATGATAATTCTCATTACATTAGCTAAGCTTGTTTTTTTTTTTTTAACGTTTTCTTTCACGTCATGTTTAATAAATGCAGTGAACACTCTGGGCCAGAGCTTCAGGAAATTGATCTATTGAAGAATTATTCTGGTTTTCCTTAGTTTCATGTCACTAAATCATTAACTCAGTTTCAATTTTAACTCCCTATTTCAGTAGAATAAAAATTTAACCTGAGGCTACATGACAATATTAAAAGTGCAGCACTGTTAGTACATGTTTTTTAAATTAAATGCCATCCTGATTTAAATATAGTAAGAAAAGAAAAAGAGAGACAGAGATGTGTGTGCGCACACAGGAACACATATATACTTGTTGAAGACATGGAAAAGACAAAGAGTCAGGCTATACAAGACGCAGGAAGAAATAAGTCATGCTTTACTGTTTAATTAGTATGTTTCAAAAAAAAATAACGTTAAAACAACAGAAAAGACTGCTCATATTTGTAATCTATTCAGCAAATGTCTAAGCAGAGACCCTGCAGGGACTTATGAAGATGCTTATGCAGAATATCAAACTGATCATTACAGGCACAGGTCGGATTCCAAAGCTTTTTCTAACATCTCTAACTCCTCTACTATCCTCCTCCTCATCCTTCTCCCTGATCGAGGATTGTCTATCTCCTATGAATGTACAAATTCTTTATCCAGGGCACTTACCACTTTCTGTCTTACATTATAGACCTTTTCCTCATTATGATTCTAAAGTATATGTCTGTTTCTATTATACTTTCTATTCTTTACCCACAAAGTAGTTTGCTGATTGAATATATGAAACCAATGTTTCAAAAATTCCTTCATTCAAAGATCAGTCTAATTTGACAGTATCTTTGTGGAGATTATCTTACCCTGATGATCTGAATTTTTCCTATCTTGAAAAATGTTCTAAAGTTCAGTTCTAGGTCTGACTCTAAAATAAAAGTAAAAATAAAATAAAATAAAATAAAAGTCCCATGAGAGCAGTGATTTTCACTTGTACCCATGGTAATGAGCATCATGTCTTGTACATAGTGGGTATTAAATGATATTGCATTTCTCTAATTGTTGTAAGAGTATCTTTTAGTTAAGCAAAGTAAGTCTGCTGATCTAAAAATTGCCTGAAATGCTACTTACTTAATTACACAAATGCACTCTTCATACAGAAAGTTTCAGCCTATAAATATTAAATTTTATTCCCTAAATTTAACTCAATGAGAAGTGATATCTTTTCTGTGGACACATGAGGTTTTAAAATTTAGCTTTCAATTTCTTCTTGAAAGTTAAGAACTTGGACTGAGTGTGATTTGTAAGTTATACAAATTCGAGGGCAGCATTATAGTGACTTTGAAAAAAAATCATATGTTTTTGATTCAAGCTTAAAGAGAATTAGAAATCTGACCAGCACATTTACTTACTGCCTTCTGAAGTCTCAAAATGCATTAGATATATTTTCTGTGCTCAAGATGCTCAAATCTCCTCTCTATGGTCTTGGGCAGTTTAGTTTCAAGTGAACTTACTTGAAATTCACATCATCACATAAAGAGCAATTAAAAAAAATATCAGTACATAGACCCATAGTACACCAAATAAATTAGTATCTATGAATATGAGCATAGGCACAAATAGTTTTTTAAATGCCCAGATTTAAAATACCACTGAAATACCCCTTTCAGTCTGAGGTGCCTCATTTTATTTGTAATGGGTAAAAGTATACATGCAAGTGCAAAATGACTATTAAAAAAATCAAGAAGATGACTATAAACTGGCCCAAGGTTGACATGTCTGTTCATTCATTCTCCAGTGTTAATTCAAGGATAAATTTTCAATAAATATAAATTAGGTACCAAAAACATCTTGCTAATGAGAAAAGAAAAATAATTCCAAAGAAGGTATGAATGACTTTAGCTTCAGAATGCAGGAAGAATGGCATGAAAGACACAGAGCAGTAAGACAGCACACAGGCCAAGGAGTGCTCAAGTCTGTAAGTTGAGAACAAACTGAACCAACTGTCCATCCAGTCCTAAGGATGAACAGGCCTAAAGACCTATGGACACACTTCCACTGCTTCCTCCATTCCTCTTAAGAGGTAGAATTTGACGGATTATAGGAATTCAAACTTCTAAGAAGCTTGCAGCCATTTTGCAGGGTTTTTTAAAACTTCTCTTTTAAAGATTTATTTATTTATATATACAAGAACTGGGGTATAAGCCAGAGGTGCAGGGGAGGGTGAGAGGATTCACCAGAGAGAGTGGGGAGCAGAACAGGTGGATCTACTGAAATATACTTGCTAAGGGGAGCAGTAGGCGAGAAAGGAGAGGTCTGCTGTGCCATGTGGGTTAGCACCCTGGCCAGACAGGATCAAACTAGTGCTGTCATGGCTGGCAGTAGCTTGACAGTGCTGTCTTTAACCCCTGCACCACCAGGGAGGCCCTGGGTTTTTTTAAATTTCTTTGAAGAATGAGTTATTTAAAATGAGATATATCTGGAACAAAATAATGGAAAGAATTTAGATAAAATAGAATTTTAATACAAAGCTAGACAATGAAAAGGGCATAAAAATGCCAACTTTACAAAAAACAGTAATTAAATATTATAAATGAAAGCAAGTTTAATATGCTAGGTCCAGTTGGTAGTAAGATGCCATAATTTACAAGGGTTCAAATAGGTGCAGGTATCAGAAAATGGAGAAAATATAAGCAAATAAAAACAATGTAGTAATCAGCACTGAAATGCCCAGAGAGGCTGCAGAGCAGAATAGGCTCTCTTACTTTGAAGAATCAGTAAGACTAACAAAACGAACACTGTTTATCTCTTGTAACATTAGCTTGTGTACTTGTGTGAATACAGACAGTGTAGCTTATTTAGTTTGAAAATGTATTCAAATGACAAAGTATAGTTTAGCAAAATGATAATGAAGAGTATCATGGAAAAGATTTGAGAACCTACACAGATATCTAAAAAAGATTTCTGCACAGGGAATATAAAGAGACAAATTGCACTGCATATATATAATGACCATCTGATGTGACTGACTAAACCACATGAACATTGAAAACAATCCTTCTACTATTGTTGTGGGAGAGCACTGGAATTCACTCATGTAAAAAATACCAAGCATACTGCAAAGTTATTTATTTTTAGAAAAATTTTCACAATGATTATTTTCTGTGGAAATCTGGGGATTTTAATAAAAAGAGGGTGACTTGGCATTAAGCTTGCATAGAGTCCTCAGTAAGCATCTGTAGTATGAATACATGTAGGCAGTTAGGAGCCCTGGGTGAGTCCCCACTGCACCTCCAACAGTATGACCCAGGTGTTACCTCACCTTGGCTTTAACTGGTTCATCTACAGGGATAGAAATTCTACTGCTATGCAAGATACCTAAATCTTTCCCAGCTTAAAAAAGGGGGGAAAGGCCTTTGGTTTCAGATATCACTCCTAAGGAAATACCAAATCACACATAAATCTTTCATTCTAGCCTTTATTTCCTTTAAACAACATCAGACCCAAAAATAGCGATGTTTTCTGAAAACAAAAATGCCTCACCCTCTTCTTCTGATTTTTAGGTAAAGGAATTATTCATCAAGAAAGTTTCCATTCAGTCCTCTTCAACTTCCAGAATTTAAAATAAATGACATAAAGAGGAATTTTTCTTTCAGTTGTTTAATCATACTTATTTTCAGCTAAAATATTTAAAAATCTATAAAATAATAAAATTTTAACCTTCCAAAATATATTCATGTGAATACAGATAGCACAGCTTCTTTAGTTTATATCCTTCTACATAAGGAAACTGGAAAAGCATTTTTGGTTGAATTTTGGACCGTAATCAAAGCAAATTTTTAATATATATATATATTATGTGCTACATATATATATATATATAATGTGCTACATATATTATATGAAGCTAGGTGTCTTCCATTTTTTATTTGAATACTTTATTCTCAGGTCATTTGCTATTCTTGAACACTGTATACCTATATACCTGTGTACCTAAAAAGTTAAAAGGTAACAAAAGCCAAATTGTGCAAATACTTTGCTGATAAAGAAGGCAGTTATTTCTCTTTACTTTTAGAAATTTCTCAAAGTTAACATCATTTTCAGTATCACTGATGGATTAGACACTGTGTCTTAATTACCTTAAAAAATCTCATGATATGCATAGATAATAAAAGATCAAATTATAAAAGCATTTAGTTCAGACACAGGAGGAAGCAGAGATAATCTAAATGTGCAAACTCCAAATTTTTGCAAACAAGCAAATAAACCAAAAACTCAGGCAGAAACGGCAGAGAAGAAATCATTGCAAAGTCCTCCCAAAATTCAATATAATCAAGATAATTATGTGTAGTTTGACAAACTTCTAGGAAACAATCCAACATGCACTTTTCTGACTTCACTTTCCAGATTTACTTGTTATTTCTTAGATCAGGCATGCAGGTGAATATCCTATCTTTGGCCACACAGAAGAAAATGTTCGGTATAGTCACTGGCTTAATAAGCACGTTGAAGAATAGGTATAAAACCACCTACCATTGTCACTGTCTCCTTCAGATGGAACACTGTAGCTAGAGTTGTCCCATGTTTGTGCCTGTGTAAGTTTGTTGAAGGAGATAGGAGGAAGAGTGAGGGCTGGGTCTGCAGGAGAGCGAGAGAGCCAGTCCGCGTATAGTTGCACAAGGACCAGGAAAAACCAAAGGGGCAGCAGCATTTCACAAATGGCATAAGGATTGTATGGAAATGAAGCGAATTTCATATTATGGGATTTAATTTCAAATGTACAATATAGGAGAAGAATGAATGATGGCGCATGAAATAAAAAGAATCATAAAAACTGAGTGTTAGTACTTATCAATCACACATTTTGCATGCAGTTAACACAGTTAATCTTAACGGTTCTGCAAGCCCACAGATTATATTACTAATGAATCACATCAGCAGAAAGAAAGAGTACCCATAGATTATGTTGATAAAAAGCAGAAGACCTACCAGAAACCCTTTTCAGAGACTTGTAAATAACTAACAATCTTAGCAAATATGATTCACACAAAAAGTTTTGGCTATATAGACAAAGTTCAATATTTTTAAATATATTATTTAAAAATAAGATAATAGAATCAGTTTTTACCATTCATGAATTTTTCCCCCAAGACAATGTAAAATTTCTCTTTGATATTTGTCAAGTCTACTGGCAACTTTTATTGACAACTGAATCTAGTCAACTCTGTTCAATTCTTGACACACACAACTCTCAATCCTGCCTTCAATATTGGTCAATATAAAAACAATTTGGGACACTCGTAGACAGAGTCTTTTAAAAAACAAACTCAACTAACCAAGAGATGTCATTCAATTTCAAATACTTCTGAATTTGTCATTTATGAAACAATAACATCTCTCTTTTATGTAATAAATGTCCATATAATAATTTTATATTTAGGAAACAGCAACATAATTTTTTATTCAGTCACAAGGCAGGGCCAGTAAAATAAGCCAATATGGTTCTAGGAAAGTACATTTCCATATATACAGTTGTCTTTCTTTGGAGGAAAACAAAGAAAGGAAAAATGTTTCCTTTGAAGAAAACTATCAGCCTACTTTAAGAATCTAGACTTCTTATTCCAAAACCTGTTGACTTGAATAGTCTGATTTAACTTCTATCACAGACATCACATAAATCCATACAATTAACTTTAAAAATAAAAATGAAGTGACTTTAAAATGTTCTAAAGGTACTCAATGAAAAATTTTTTTCTACCTTTTTAAAATCACAGGAACTTCAATTAAAACTACTAGATATTATTTTCTAGAACATGTGAAAAATACATACTTCAGAATTTAAGAGTTACTAAATTAAAATTCTCAACACATAATGCTAGTTTTTTGAAGTTCCAAATGTCACTTGAGGTTGCTGAAGATAAACCAGCATTATTTACAGCAACCAAACCCCACAAAGCTTTCAACAACTATAACAATTCCCACATTGGTTAGTCAGCATTATAGAAAGGTTGGGAGCTTGGAGTGGAAATTGTCTTTGCTTTCTGCTATTCAAAATAAATATTCCCTTTTATTTTTCACCACTAAAAAGAATTTGAAACAGTTTCACAGTGCAAGTATCATGCTGATAACTCAAGTTTGGTTCACAAAGAAATGAAAAAGTCAAACAATTTTACAACTAAAATGGCAAAGAGGCACATTCATAAGAATATTGTTCTTTGGAAAATTTTAAATTTTGTAAAACTGCTGGAAAGGATTAAAAGAAACTCTGTAGTCCAATATGAGATTCTCAGTGTGTAGAGGTAACTCTTTGGGCCGCAGAGTTATCGCTAAAGGCACTGAGATGTGACCAGTGTCCTCCATTTTTCTCAGCACACACCTGAGCCTATGGAGTTGGAAGCCCAGCCCAGGTCTTGTTGCATATGTCTCGGTTCCATGAGTGATGAGTCCAGTTATTTAAATTTTATTACATGAACAATTTCACTTTCCATAAGACACCTACTAACTCTTGCCTTGCCCATGCATGTACTCAAATGGCTTTGTCTTATAACACTTTAAAAATACCAGGACATCATTACACCTGGCCCCGTGTTATCCATCAGTCAACTTGCTCCAAAAAATGAAAAGAAAACTTCCATTTATAAATAGTCATGTTTGTTTTTTATTATAGGCACCCTTTTTCAAAATATACATATGTATAACTTCTACAGCTACCAGAATGATTTAGTGAAAACCCCAAAAACATGTGTTCTGTATTAGCTTTTGCTGAAGAGGGTCTGTTTCCATACATAACAATTTTTTTAAATCAAGTTATTTTATACATCGTTGTAAGTTACTACTGTGACAATACTAAAAATAAATAAAAGAAATAAGCAGAAAGGTTCTTTAAAAGAGAGATGTTTCTGACCACACTTATGAGTCTTGAAATGATCACATTAGATGAGTAAATACACAGACCCTCCTAGGCTCAGAAAGCAACTGAAGACTGGCTGTCTCAGAAAGGTGTCACCTCCCTAGCATGCTCCCCCAAAGCCTCCTAGAGGCTGCTCTTTAACTCACAGGGTACTGGGAACCCCTGTGGCAAGGGGGTAGCTGTTTTATCTTCCTTGGGAAAGAAACTCAAAATAGCTGATCCCCTCTTGCATGCCCTACCACCTTTTTCCCTTGTTCTGTTTCAAAAGTGATAAGATGCCTATTTCTGACAACATGGACTTAACAAGCGATTCACTGAAAATAAAGTTTCAAAATGCAGCCTCTTCAAGCTGTGGCAAAGTTCTGATGTCATGACTCAAACTCAAACAGTAGATGAAACTGCTCGCACTAAAAATATACATGTTTTAAACAGTAAACAGAAACGCTGCGTTGTTACAAGTTTTAAGAACAGGCTGAGATTTGAATTTACCTGATCGAGGCTTCAGGCCAAATGGAGCAGTGGTATTTGTGGTAGGAGAGACTGCAGGAGAATTCTCTCTAATCTGTGGTATCAGAAGGAGAGGAAATTTTAAAAAACCAAAGCAGATCTATGCATGCTTCTTTGAGCATACTGTATTTGTTGCTGTGTGATGGCCAAAAATAAATAAACAAACAAACAAATAAATAAATGAGTAAATGAATAAATAAATAAATAAATAACAGCTGCATCTTCATCTTCATAATGCAAGTGTTTATGGGGAATAATCAACAGAATATTGTTTTGAGAGGATCCATTGCGTTTTTATTCACTCATTATAAAGATATGTTATAACAATGTGAACCTGGCAGTCATTCTCTGCCCCAGCATAGGGTGTGCCATGCACGTGCCTGAGCACACACATAAGTACACACACATCCACTTCAGAGGACACATCATGAAGAATCTCATAACATGATGAGACAGGAACACAGGTAGCACTAAACACAGATGGCTTGTTATAGGAAAGTCATACCACAATAATGACTATTAGAGCTATTTCATCTACTGTCTACAAAGATGTCCCCATATCTGGTTTTCAACATATACCTTTATATCTTTGTTTATTAAATTATAACTTAATTTTAGCTTAAATTCAATCTTAAATTATGAATAGGGCCAGGTAAGGCAATGGAAGCTAATGAGAGAGACACCCCCAGTGATTAACTCATTAATCACTGATGTCTTAAGAGTACATAAAAAACATTCCAGTTCAGACTTCACGAAATTCCTCAGCCTCCATTAATCGTCAGGAAACTTACCTCACTTGGAGAATATTGGCTCCCATTACTCTGTAAAGTTAAGTCATTTTGCACCTTAAGGAAGAAAAAAAAAATGTATGGTATGTTTTGATTAGACTAATATCGAAACAAGAGTTGAGTCTTTATTACTTTCCTCATACCCTTTGCACAAAGGCAAACAACAAATATATACTGAATTAATTAATTACTGTTTTTAGTACTTAACTAGGTCAAACTTACATTTTTTAAAAACATGCAGTTGTATTTATAGAAAAATATAAAGTATTACAAAAAAAAAGGAAGAAAAGAGATTTCCCAGAGTGAGGTGCCTGTAACATCGGCTAGCCCCACAAGATTACCAAGTTACCTGCAGGCTCCTATACTCACTTTAGCTATGTGTTTCTTAGAAATGAATGAAGGCAATGGTTCCTGACTACACAGAATCTCACTGGGACCTTTAATAAATACGCATACATGGATCACATACATGGATTAACTGGGAAATTCTTATGCTGTCAATCCTACAATAGTTTAAGAAAAAAGAATTAAGAAATTTTCTACAGTAAAATGTGCAGAACGTGTAAATGACCATGACATCCTGGTTCCACAGCAGGAGTGGACGGGTGGGTGAAGGCCACTGAAGGCCACCAAGCATGTGGAAGCAGTTCAAGAGGAAGGTGATAAATTCACTTTAGCATGTAGAGAACAAGAAAGTTATGGGGCATGGACATGCAATCTGAACAGTGGGCGAGGGGAGAATGTGCTGGAGTGTGATTTGACATCATTATTATGTGTGAGGTGCCTGTGTCCATGAGTGGGACCAGGTGCTTCAGGAGAAGAGGAAGGCCTGTGCTCAGAGCAGAATCCTAGAAAACCTGCACAAAAGTGGCTTAGAGACAAGGGATCTTCAACAGGGAAACTCGAGCTTATTTTATCCATTTTTGCCTTCATTTTATGGTAATCAAGAACTGATTCATTCATTCTGATGAATAATGTGGTGATAGCTGATATAAGTTATATGTGCTATCAAATTAGAATAACTAAGATGTCTGCTTCTATTTTTTTTTAAAGATTTATTTATTTATGCCTAGAAGAACTGGGGTGTAAGCCAGAGGTGTAGGGGGTGAGATGATTCATCAGAGAGAGTGGGGAGCAGAGCAGGCAGATCTACTGAAATACACTGAGGGGAGCAGCAGGCGAGTCAGGAGAGGTCTACAGCACCATGTGAGTCATCTCCCTGGCCGGGTATCGAACTTGTGCTTCAGTGGCTGGCGATAGCTTGATAGTGCTGTCTTTAACCCCTGTGACACCAGGGAGGCCCTTTTTCTATTTTTTTTTTAAAGATTTATTTATTTATTTATACAAGCACTGGGTACAGTCCGAAGCGTGGGAGGGTGAGAGAATTCACCACTGCTGAGGGGAGCAGCGAGCGCGGCAGGAGGTCTGCGCACCATGTGGGACCCTCGCTGGCGGCGGGGTATCAGACTGGCACTGCAGAGGCTGCGGGCAGCTTTGCAGCCCAGCGCTCAACTGCTGGTCACCAGGGGAGGCCCCCATTTTCTATTTTTTTTTAATTTTATTTTTATATTCCCATACAATTGCAACCCCCTTATTTTGACCCCAATCCTTCTTTCCCCGCCCCCCTATAGTGTGTCTTTGGTTCATAGTTGTTTGTTGATTTGGATTTTTTCTTTCTTATAGTTATTCTTTTTTCTGGTCCCTTATTTAGGTTTTCTAGATTCCTGCTATGAGTGAGACCATCCGGTATTTTTCTTTTTCTTTCTGGCTTATTTCACTGAGCATGATCCCTTCCAGCTCCATCCATGTTGCTGCAAATTGCATGTGTTTATCTTTTTTGAAGGCTGAATAATATTCCATTGTGCATATGTACCACATCTTCTTGATCCAGTCATCTATTTTTGGGCATTTGGGTTGTTTCCAAAGCTGAGCTATTGTAAATAGTGCTGCTATAAACATAGGGGTGCAGGTGCTCTTTGGAATTAATGTTTCTGTGTCCTTTGACCAGTGAGAATGGCACATATTAAAAAAACTAGCAACAACAAATGTTGGCAAGGATGTGGAGAAAAAGGAACTCTCCCGCACTGCTGGTGGGAGTGCAAACTGGTCCAACCATTATGGAAAGCTGTGTGGATATTCCTCAACCTACTGAAGATAGAGCTTCCATATAATCCAGCAATTCCACTCCTAGGTATTTACCCAAAGGACACAGAAACATTAATTCCCTTTTTTCTATTCTTAATGTTAGGAGTGCTCTTGACTTGGAGAAATCTTAGGGAAAAAATACTTCTTAGAATAAAATATTCTTAATTTCATAATCCTGTTAAATGGCCTTTTAAAAATGCCAACATGTAATTGCAGGTTTCATTCTCTCTATAAGCAATTTGTTCCCTCTAATTTTTCCTATTGTCCCCCATTTGGTATTTTTACATAAGAAAGTAATTTGTAATTCTTCCTGAATGGATGCCAATTGCTCCAAAACTTGACAGAGTCATCTAAACTATGGGTGAAGCCAGATAATAATGTGCTAGCCATTACAAAGCACCTCATTATCTTGGGCTCCTGTACCCGGGCGCCACGGCCTCAGTGCTTCTCCCGGTGCTCACACAGCACTGGTTCCTCCACGGCCAAGCTGCCTGTTCAGTGCAACTTCTGGACACGGATCCAAATTCAAACTGATATCCAAAGATTTGGGGTTAATTCCCTCTCTTTAAATCCTCTTTCTCTTCCCCAGCCTCCCAGGACACCTAAAAAATACCCAAGATTAGGGACCATCTCATATTCTTCTCTAGGTTTTTTTTTTTTTTTAATATCTAAGTCTTCTTTCTTGAGAGTAACTTTACATTCTTCACATAGTAAAGTAAAAATCAAAATCAACAAGCAACTATAAACCAGAGACATACTATGCAGTGAGGGGGAAGGGAGTAGGATCAAAACAAGGGTGGTGGGAATTGTATGGGGAATATAACCAAGATGAAAATGCATACATTGTACAAAAATGAAAAATGATGTAAAAATATACAAAATAAGAAAAAAATTAAAAATAAAGTTAAAAAAAACAGGGTGAGTGCAGCACAAATACTTAAAAATACTAATTAATTGACTCAAGCTACTTTAAAGGTACTAATTTTTTTCTGAATGAGACAGAAGAGAATATAAAAATAGAGAAATTATAAATGAAGATCACATATAAATTTTGTATAATCATTTGCACTGGCCTTGTTAATCCACTACTTTATTTTTTTTTCCATTCTTCTAGCGACTACCTTTTTTCCATCACAGCAATTCCTCCATCTCTTTTTAAAATAATGGAGATGTGCCTGTCAAGATGGACAGAGAATTGCCCTAAAGAAGCAAGACAAGGACTAGGAATCCCTTACACCAATATGACTCCTTATTCAATCAAAAAAGAAAAACAATAATACTAATACAAATCATTGCAAATCAGAGATGGATAAGATATCTTTTTTTTTTTTTTTTTTGGAGGCCTTGTGTCTTCCTGGTTCTGAAGTCATTCATACTCACAGATAGGTATCCATTTGACTAGAGTAAAACTGGATCTGCAGTGGGTACTAACATAGTCTGGAAGTACCTCTTCACTAACTGCTTATTTGTTGCAAGGTAACAATAGAACAGTAATTATACAGTAGAGAAATTAGGTTATACCTGGATTGGGTGATTGAATTATCACTCATAAGCCTATGTGGACAGTGTGCCCCAAAAGTGATAGCCCAAGAGGATATAACATCACCTGTGCAGCATCCCAAACAAAATGCAGAACCTCAATCTAACCATTAAGAAATAGGAGAAGGGCCTCCCTGGTGGTGCAAGGCGTTAAGATGCAGCCTATAAAGCAATCTGCAGCCTCTGCAGCACAAGTTCGATTCCCTGCCAGGGAGCTACCCACATGGTATAGCAGACCTCTCCTGACTTGCTCGCTGCTCCCCTCAGCAGTGTATTTCAGTTGATCTGTCTGTTCTGTTCCTCATTCTGTCTCTGGTGAATCCTCTCAACCACAAACCCCCCTCACTTCTGGCCTGTATCCCAGTTCTTGTATGCATAAATAAATAAATCTTAAAAAAAAAAAGAAATAGAAGATTTTGTGTCACAAAATAAGGAGCATCCTATTCTAAAAAAAAAAAAAAAAAGAGTGGGCAATACTCTTCAAAATATCAGGGTCATAAAAGTCAAAGAAAGGTTATCTAAATGTTTCACAATAAAGAAAACTACAGATACCTGAAAACTATAGCACCCTACACTGGAGGCAGGGAGGGGATGCTTTGAAAGACATCAAAAGGCCGACCTAAATACTTGGAATATGGGTGATAGATTAGATGAAAATATTTTTTCAATGCCTATTTATGGTAACTGAAACATGGTTATGTAATATAAAATGCTTATTCTTAGAAAACATACTCTGAAATGTTCAGGGCAAAGGTTATGGTGTATGAAATTTACTCTCAAACTGTCAGAAAAAGAACTATGCATGTAGAGAAAGAAAGAGAGCAAATGCTGCAGCAAATGTGGTAAATTTTAACAACAGGTAAATCTGGGTAAAAGGTAATATTTATAACCTCCATAGAATCTGGCAAAATCTTTTCAACCTTTTATAAATTAAAAATTATTTCCATATAAAAAGCTGGGGAAAAAAAGTGCATCTTCACAGAACAAAAAGTAGTGTGTCTCAAACAGAGGGCTTGCTGAAATGGTCCCAGGGCAGTCATCAAATAAATGTTTCCAAAGATTCTATTCTTGGTTAGCTCAACCATGCCACCACCCAGGAAAGAGGCGGTGCAGTGATTCTGGTGAAGGGCCATGCCAAAAACATAACAGAGTAGTAGAGAACATAATAGCTAACATTTAGGTGCCCCGGGTTGTGACACTGAACACAATTAACAGATAATGAAGGTGCAGTTTAGAAAGACTGCCCATAGTAGCCCTAAGATAGCAAGTCTTGGAAGTAGGACTGAAACTCAACATAATTCCCAGTCACTGTGCTTAACAATGAAACCATTACTTTACGAGAACATGCATTTTAATATTACAATTTTTTTTTCTCTTTAATAAACACAAAGACTTAGCTAGCTAGGTATGTGAGAGCACTTTACTACTGAACAGTACATGTTCAGACACCCCAGGGGTATAAAATTGATTTGTATGAAGCTAGCTATCCTGTGGCTATTCACTAGGAAGGGATGAAATAAATTACAACCTATGTTTCACTCCCTCACTCCCATTTCTCTATGACTGTTTCTTTGGGACCTTCTCTATTTTTATGTCAAAACTGCTTTTTCCACAACTACTCAAACTGTACCCCTATCTAATTTACCAAATATCCTCACCCATTCCTCTGTGTTAGTCTCTTAATCCTCCTAGGCTTCATTTGTTCCTTTTGAAATCTTTTCCAGTTTATTTTATCCTGATCAGATCAGAGGTAGCTTTCCTGTCTCTAAAATCTATAATAAACAGTTCTACCTCCAGTTTCTGACACACAGCAGATTCCCTATGTACCTCCATAGCCAGCACCTGACTCAGCAAGACTACTAGACTTCAAGAATTTAGAAAACTTAATGGAAAAGCCAACTTCCATCTCTAATGGAAGATTAGAAGTAAAGTATAATAGATAAGCAGGAAAGCCAAAGAAGATAAAAATAGATCTTGAACAAATCTGAATGATCAATGGCTCACTGGTAAATGTTAAGTCTTTACAAAATATGGTGGTCACTGTTCTTTGGCAGGATATTGAATGGAACTCTGGTTAATCCAAGAACAGCCTTACCTCACACATGGGAGACGTCTCCAGCTGTATCTGACCACTGTAGGAATGAGGAAAAAACACAAATGTAAGGTGGAATTTAAATCATAAATATTTCAATGTAAAAAGAGAAAATATATTCAGTAATAAAAATAAACATACTTTAATGCAGGATCTTGTAATTCTAAGGTTTCTGCTGATTCCATAGGATAAAAGTTTACAATACTTCTCTCTGTAATATCTGTACTTAATCTGAAGAGTAAGAAAAAACAGATATTAGTAAATTTATTAAATATTTAATAAATTTTGCTGTGTAATATATTAAAAAGCTATGATTATCATTAGGATTAAGTAATGAAAGTCTTATGGTAGAAATTTCAAACTACATGATAATGCCAAAGTTAATACAATTGTCTGCTATTGGCACTGAAGTTCAGCTTACTTGCAATATAATAGTAATTTCTAACAAAGTCATAATAGTCATAGGTAGCATACACTAAATTTTATTCTAGAACTTTATTAATTTACAGAAGCAAGTAAAGTTGCTACAGGTACTATATGGTATAATATTTACCATGAGCATTTTGTTTTAATAATAGAAAGATCTCTCTGATATACACTAATACTCTCACTTAAAAAAATGAATAATTTTAGGCAATTGGGTAATCATATTTGTATTTGAAATTTCATTATAGGCAGTTTCTGAATTTCTGCAGTTTTAAAAGTTGAGTTTTTAAAAAATGTATGAAACCAGGGCCTCCCCGGTGGCGCAGCGGTTGAGCGCTGGGTTGTGAAGCTGCCCGCAGCCTCTGTAGCGCCGGTTCGATCCCCGGCTGCTCCCCGGCCACCGGAGGAGGGTCCCACATGGCACGCAGACCTCTCCTGCCGCCCGCTGCTCCCCTCAGCAGTGTATTTCGGTCCTTCTGCCTGCTCTGCTCCCTGCTCTGGCTCTGGTGAATTCTCTCACCCTCCCGCACTTCTGACTGTACCCGGTGCATGTATAAAACAAAAAACAAACAAAAAAAAAAAAAAAAAAAAAAACAAACAAATAAATAAATAAAAAAAAAAAATGTATGAAACCAGGAATTTCTGTAAGTCATATTAATAAAAGTTACAAAAAGCAGAGAGGAGTTCATATTATACAAATTTATTGAAAAATGCTATTGAGCCAATAATCGAAAATCCTTCAGAGAAGAGACCAAGATTAAAGACACATCAGTATAGCAATATTCAACTAGATTTCTTTTTGATGTTAAGGTTGTATGGAATTTAATCCTATAATCAAGGGCTTAACTAAAACAACAACAAAAAAATCCAGATCAATGAGATACAGGAAAAACGAAATGTAATTGTTAACTATTTATTATTGATACTCAGACCCAAGCAGTTACAAATAAAAAAAAAAAAAAAACTGCTCAATCTATCAGAAGCAAAAAAGAGACTCTTAATATTTCAGTGGCTCAGAGACACATTAGTATAAAGTGAGGATTCTTATACTTAATGGTTATTACAGGATAAACAACAAAAGCTTTGAAGCAGCTAAAGTAGTGGATTTTATCAGGAGGAAGCAAAGTCCATATAAAATCTTGGAACAAAGCGTACTTGTAAAATTTATGCATCCATAACGATGCAAATCAACTGACTTGGAAGGTTACTCAAGTTGACACATTCCCACTATTTGCTCAACATCCTTGACAGCTCATTGTCTCAGACAATGCCAAGCTGGAGAGAAATCTGGAGATCCTCAAGTCAACCCACTTCCCATGAAGTATGATGAAACTGAGACCCAGAGCCGGAGACACCCCTTCCAGTCAGTGGGTCTCACTATGGGTTCCAGTGCCATAGGCTTTTCTTTTTTGCTTTGGATCTTATATGTTAATCAACATAGCATTTGCAAGAACAGTTTATTGGAAAGGTGATTTGAAATGTTAGAGGTGGAAATATTAAAACAATATAAAGTTTGAGCCTAATTGAGGCCTTCTCTTTATCACAGTATGTCTTCAGACTTCTGACCTGGACTCAAGTTCTTTTTCCATTAACATGCTTGCCCCTGGGATCCTCTTTCTTTTATACAACTTCTGTTACCACAGGACCTCATGAAAATGACTTTCAGATTTAAATCTCTAAGCCACAGAATAAAACATCCAGCAGCTGAATGGACATTGTCCCTCGCCATCTTGGATTCTATTAAGCATATCCTAAACCGACCCCAACATCCTCCTCTTCCTCAAATCTATTGTCCCTGCTGTTTTCCCATCTCAAAAATACCAAAGACTCACATCTAAAACTATTCTCTTACATCCTACCCACTGAGTAAAGCAATCATAGAAGAAACACAATAGCACCTACTACAAGGTCTCTAAATATATACAAGTATAAAGAAAAGTAGTAATTTAGAAATACCTATAGAGAAAAATCCATCTTAACATATTTCCTTGTACTTTTTTTTTCTAAGTTTGTTATACAATCTATATAATTTTGACCAAACTTTATGCCATCTACATAACTTTTTAAAGTTAACATAATGCGATGTTCATTCCAAAATATGTTGGAAGCTTCAAAAAAACTTTTTATAGGCCACAATATATTCCATTTTACTAATGACCAAAATATATTTAAGTATCTCCAAATGCTTAGATTATTTCCTTTTTCCCCCAAATACATTATATGAAAAACACCATCTCCCTCATAATATTTGCTTTTCTTGTCCCTTGGAATAAATCCTTGACTTTGATGATAAAGGTTTATACTTGTTTATTAAACTATAGCTATATACTACTAGAATGCCCTCTGGAATGGTTTTGCCAATTTACCTTCCCACCAGCAGTTTATATATTATTTTAAATCCTCACAACTCTAAAAGGTAAGTACATGTAATGCATTTTATAGATGAAGAAACTGGGGTAAACATAAGTTATATAATTGGTTGAAATTAACTAGGGTTAGAGCTGAATTTGGGACCAGTAGCTGGCTGACTTGAAGTCTGCATTTTTCACCAGCTATCCTATTGCTAATTCCTCATAACTTCTATAATATAATAGCTATACTATTTCTATTTCCCCATTTCTCATATATGCACATGTGCATTTGCACATGCATGCCCAAAAGGGCACACAGCCCACACATGTGCGTGTGCACACTCAGCTTTCTTGTCTCTGATTTCCACCCTCTCACTAACTACCATGGCTTAGGATGTGAAACTCTGCTTTTTAAAGAATGCGCCTTCATTATACCAAAAATTCCCATTTGAATTTCAGGAAGAGTGAATGAGTTTCATTAAGGGGTAGAAAAATGTAAAACTTAACTCAATCCCTGTAGAAGTTTGACTCTTCTATTAATGAATCTTGGATAACAGGCAGTTAATCATGTTAGTGGTTAAACTGAGCCCAAAATGTGTGTGAAACATTTTGGGCCAAGGAAACCTGGGCCAAGGAAAGACACACATACCTGTTGGGATCTTGCAGTAAATCCACTGCTTCTCTCAGCTGCTCAATCATCCCTATATCCATGTCCTGGTCTTTGGATGATCTTATTCTGCAACAAAAAGCCAAGTATAAGAGGAAAATAATCCCCTAGAAGATGAATGTCTAGGTTCTCAGGGCCAATTTACAAAAATCCGCTTAACATGTAGAAATGATTGAGAAATTTAATATTTATAATGAAGAGGTATCAGTATCTGCAGGGCAGGTGGCCAGGCTGTAGTATAGAGAGCTCCTGAGTGGGGAAGCCTAGCTCTGCTATAAAGGAGCTCACCCAAAACTCAAGTCTCAATGCTGTGGGGCCCCATCAGTGAAATCACTAGTAAGTGGTCCCACGCTGTGCGTTCTTGAGCCCTAGAGGGCTCCATAGCAGTGTTCAGGTGGGCAAGGTCTACACTACTTATGGACCTTCCAACTCTAGTTCAACAAGCACAGCTCAGGTTGAGACGGTACTCAGTCCAGGCCCTTTATGTAGAAAAATCATGTGGATGCTTAAAAAATAGATGTTGGGCCTGATTTTTGGTTTCTAAAACTTTAAAATCTCTTTCACTATAAAATCTATTTTCTTATTATTCTATGATTCCATAATCAAGCTAGATCTCTTTAGCCTCACAAAATATACAAAAAATAGCTTGTAGGTGATACTGAACAACATATCACAACTCTAAAAGGTAAGTACATGTAATGCATTTTATAGATGAAAAAACTGGGGTAAACATAAGTTATATAATTGGTTGAAATTAACTAGGGTTAGAGCTGAATTTATATATTTTAAAGATTTATTTATTTATGCATACAAGAACTGGGGTACAGGCCAGAGGTGTGGATGATGAGAGGATTCACCAGAGACAGAGTGGGGAACAGAATAGGCAGATTGAAATACACTGCTGAGGGGAGCAGTGGGTGAGTTAGGAGATGTCTGCTGTGCCATGTGGGTTGCTCCCTGGCTGGCCAGGGGATCGAACTCAAGCTGCAGTGGCTGTGGATTGCTTCATATGTTGTGTTTTAACCCCTTGTGCTACCAGGGAGGCCCCTCAAATATATTTAAAGGGCAAGAGAAATGATATCATGGCTACTCTGTAGCAGAACATAAGACAGTGTCCTTCAGTAAGTGGAGAACCTTTTGAATAATGTGGTAAATCCTCCCTGAGAAGCAAGGCCCCCATAAGGTATGAAAATAGATCCAGGCCTACCACTACATGCTAGATCATGGAGAACAAAATCCTGGAAACTAAAAATCTACTCTATGCCACATGGCCCTGAAAATTCCCCTGAGAAAAGGTTCCTCATATGATAAAATCACTCAGGCCCTTCCCCATAAAGTTTGCCATGGAAAACTTCATAGGCAACAGAGTAAGAGCAACATCTATTTGGTGAAACATTCCTTGGGCTCAAGCCTAACCCAGTGTGTTCTTGGGGCAAGATAACCAATCTCTCTGTCCTTTAGTTTTGTCATCTGTAAAACTGGGGATAACAGTAAAACTTAGAGGATTGTCGTAAAGACGAAATGAATTACTTATTACCTGTGAAATGTTTTGGACAGCGTGGCATTTGGTATTTACTAAATGTTAGCTATTACAATTATCAGACATGGGACAAGGACATTAGAGATATACAGTTTTCTCAGATCTTGAGCCTGAAAACTCTGGGTAAAGACTCCGGGAAACATAAAGGTACTCAGTCCTGGTAGATGAGGACTACATATCACTTTAGGTCCAATTGTGGGCTTCCATAGATAAATTGAAGGGAGCAAGAATCTCCAGTATAGAAAATCTAATTCCCTGAAACACAGTTCTACTCACAATCTCAAATCACATAAAATTCAGGGCCAAGAAAGAGTTGTGATCTTGCACTATATGTTCTAGTACTATGACTATGGCAATAAGCATCAGATCAGGGAAATTGGCATTTTTTTAATCAATATTGTTCAGTAAGAATCTCAGTTTGCCTTCTCTCCTCAAAAAAAAAAAAAAAAAAAAGAGAGAGAAAGAAAACACCAAAATTTTTTCATGAGAGGGCTGTATTCTGGCCGAAACATGAACTTTCAGGATGGGGCTGATACCCAGACACTCGGCACTCACATCCCCTCGGTTTGCCAGTGAGTGTCCTCTTCTATCCGTAAGAGCTCTTCACAGTCCTCTGACCTATCCTGCGGACAGAACACAAGATCGTCTGAGCAATACTGTCTACTAACAGTCAAACCCGCCCCAATTCATGTTCACAGCAGCAACATTCATAAATGTCAATAGTGGAAATAACCTAAGTGTCTGTTGACAGATAAACCGATACACAGAATGTGGTCTCTATGGACAGTGGAATATCAGTCAGCCTTAGAGAGGAAGGAAATTCTGACACAGGCCACAACATGAATGAATCTTAAGGACATTATGCTATGTGGAAAAAGTCAGTCAAGGGAGGATAAATACTGTGATTTTACTTAGATGAGGCACCTGGAGTGGTCAAATTCATAAGAGACAGAAAGAAGAATGGTGGTCACAGGCAAGAGGAAAGGGTTATGGGAATTAATGTTTAATAGATATAGGAGTTTCAGTTCCACAGGATAAAAGCACTGGAAATGGAATATGGCTATGGTGACACAGAAATATGTATGGACTTAACAGTGACTCATACACTTAAAATAGCTAAGATGTTAAGTTTTATGTTACATGTACTAAAAGAAGGAAGGGAAAAGGAAGGAAAATAAAATAAAAATGAAAAACTAGTAGGAAAAAAAAGAGAAAACCTGGTCCAAGACCACAGTCTCTGTTAGAGTCAGAAATATAAAGCTTAACTCAATGCCTTACTGCCCTCCTAGCACCCCCTGATGTTGACAAGTTTCTCCACTGGGCTTGTGGGTCTCATGAGGACGTGCATGCTAGTGTTTGGGAGAGGGTCCTGTGCATGTGTGTGTTGTTCGGGAAAAGGAAAGTAAAACATACTTAACAGAAATGCCTCAAATTGCATTTGGGAGTTTTCATGTGGACAGCATCCAAAGTGCACTGAAATGCCCCACTGCCACTATTTCCCTAAAGAAACAACATTTACATAGAGGTATAAGGAGGGTGTGCCCCACCAACGGAACTTCCACAGGCTTCTTTTCACTTTTATCTGTGACATAGAGAAATGATACTTTACCTCAGCTGACAGCTAGAAGGAAAGCCATCCCTGAGTGGGGGTGCACTTTCCTGGCAAGGAAGGAACAACAAACAAAATATATGTTTTCTGCAGCAAGATGCTAACTCAGCCTAGTCAATTCTCCAGCTGTGTCACTCAGAAAAAGTCTGCTGAGGAGACACAAGCAGTCTGATGCCAGCCTCTGGCTTGAAAATCATTCAGACTTTTTCCATATTGATTATAGTTTTAGTGCCCAGGAAAGTCAATATATAAGTTACTGGCCACTATCCAAATGACAGTGAAAGGCATGGGTGAAAATATGCCACCAGAAATTACGGTACCATGCTCCTGTATCTTCTTGGTGGATTCCAACTACAGGAGCCATGGGTATTTCCTTCCAATTTTCAGTTTCATAAGAAAAAGTAACTAATAGTAGAAAACATTTTCTTCAGTATGCAAAATAGGGCTTCCACTGGGCTTCTTTTGATATGTTAGCTGATCACACAGTTGATCCTCATTATTCATGGATTTCATATTTACGAATTTGTCTACACTAAAGTTTTTAACAGTGAAATCAATAGTTGTGGCTGTTTTGCAGGTAGTTAGTCACAAACACAAGCAGAGTGGTGAGATATTTGAATCATGGACATGCACTTCCAAGCTGAGGCTGAGAAGGTGACACTCTGCCTTCTGGTTTCAGCTCTCACACTGCAAACAAGCATCCTTTTCAGATTCTATGAGTGCCACATGTTCTTAGTTTCGTGCTTTCTGGTGTGATTTTGTTGTTTCCAATGCCCCCAAGCATAGTACTGAAGTGCTGCCTTGTGTTCCTTGGCACAAGAAAGCTGTGATGTGCTTTACAAAGAAAACACTTGTCAGATATGAAAGCATCCTCCAGGCTGATGGCTGTGAGTTCAATATTAAGGTACCAATGATACTTAATAAATAAAGTCCTTTTAGACAGAAACACACACAAAACAAGTAAGTATAGCCTAGTCCAAAAGAAATGTGTGACCAGATGCTCACAGGCCCTAACCCTGTATTTCTACAGAACCAGTGGCTCAGTATTGGCTAATTTTATATTTGAGGCAACTTTATGAATCAAAACAGCTGTGAATAAGGAGATTATATGTACTTATAAAAGCACAAGATGCTAATTTAGTAAAGAAGAGAAAAGAGAAGAGTATATAAAGTATGGAACTCCTGATTACTAGAAGAGGGAGGGCTCAGCACACTTGTTTGCTGTGAAGCACATGCTCACAAATTTTACTGTGATACAAGTTGAGGGTAAAATGAGTTTGATTTTCAGTGACTTTTCGTTGTAAATCTAGGTTGATTTTATTATTAGCATTCTTCCCTTGACCTTCTAGAACGAGCCTCTTGCAGGAGAGGGCACATGGGAACACGGCCTGCTCCTCTCGACTGCCATGGGATGTGTCTAGCACAGCAGCCGCTTCCACGGAGCCTTCTGCTCCCTGAAATCTTTGAATCTAGGGAAAATTGCTTTCTGAAATAATGTTTTATTTTATTAATCACTTTTTTCCCTTCAGGATTTTATCACTACTATAGATTCTTTTTTTTTTTTTTGTTTGCTTGTTTTGTTTTTAAGATAGATTTATTTATTTATTTACTATTTATTTATTTTATTTTATTCTGGGTACAGTCAGAAGCGCAGGAGGGCGAGAGAATTCACCAGAGCCAGAGCGGAGAGTAGAACAGGCAGAGTGACGAAGTACACTGCTGAGGGGCACAGCGGGTGGCAGGAGAGGTCCGCGCGCCATGCGGGACCCTCACTGGTGGCCGGGGATTGAACAGGTGCTGCAGAGGCTGCGGGAAGCTTCGCAGCCCAGTGCTCAACCGCTGTGCCACCGGGGAGGCCCTCTTTTTTTTTTTTTTTTTTTTAAAGACATCTTTTTAAAAGATTTATTTATTTACTTATTTACTTATTTATTTATTTATGAGAGCACTAGGTACAGTCAGAAGGGCAGTAAGGTGAGATAATTCACCACAGCCAGAGCAGGGAACAGAACAGGCAGACTGATGAAGTACACTGCTGAGGGGAGCAGCGGGCACGGCAGGAGAGGTCTGCGCGCCATGTGGGAAATCCTTGCTGGTGACCAGGGCTCAAACCGGTGCTGCAGAGGCTGCAGGCAGCTTCGCAGCCCAGTGCTCAACCGCTGCGCCACCGGGAAGGTCCAACTATAGATTCTTAAGATGACCTTTTCATAAAATAAAAAGAAAAGTCTAAGTTTCCATGTTCTTGTGACAGACTTATCCCAGAGCTGACAGGGGCAGAGGTGATTAAAAGCTTTGTGACAGCAATGTCATTAGGTTTGTACTTCAGGAACATGCCTCAAGTTAGAATGTGGACTGTGTGTGTGCACATATGCGCAGAGTGGGGAGCAGCTGGGGTGAAGGGGCTCCTGTAGAGACTGAAGTGAGGAATGATGAGGTCAACTGAAGCAACAGCCATGAAGGCAGATGGAAGTGAGATGTTTTGAAACAAGAATTGGTAGCTCAGATATAGAAAGTAGAGAGATATTAATTTCTGTGTTTTGTCATTCTGTATAATGTGTGACCATTTCGATTGGTTTTCTACAAATATGTCATGTGTTGGGTTCATTTTGGTAAGCTGCCCTTTTTTTTGGGGGGGGTAATGTTGGTTTATAACACTGAATATGACCTAGGGGTATAGGTTCACCCCTTCAGGCATGTTACCATAACACACCTACCAGTAAAACCCCCAAATCCTCCACAACACAGCCCTTTGGGCCCCTGCATCCTTGCTCCCCAAACCTCACCCTCACCCTCTGGTAGTCTCAATTGTACAGTCAGATTTCTAGGGCTCATTTTGGGGTATATTTGTCTATTTCTTTGTTTTATTTCTGTATATTCCACTTATGAGTAAAATCATCCAGTCTTTCTCCTTCTGACATTTTACTTAGAGCAATCTACAGAGATCTTAACTTAAAGAGAATAAAAATGCTAAAAAATTTACCTTCTTTCTAATTTTCCCTATGACCAACCTAGAATTGTGAATAGAACAAATACTCAACATATTTTCTTTAAAGATATTTCCAACCTTTTCCTCTGAAAAGACAACTTTTCTCCTCTATCCTCCTAGGCATGAATTTATTTTGTGTTTTCTTTATAGTTGTGTGTGTTTTTTTTTCCTCTAGAAAACATACATTTTTAGGTCCATGATGATGAGATCTGACATATAGTATGCAATAAGTGAGTGAATGAATAAAAGAATAATTTTTTAAATTCTCTTACTCAGTTAGTGGAAACAATACCTTATGACTAATAAAGGAGGTTTATTATTTCTCTCTGGTCAGCATAAATACCTCTTGAGCACACCAGGGTCTTGTACAGTATAAACATCAGCTATCTACCTCCTTTGAAGGTTACTTTGAAGGTGATCCCAGAGATGTCAGTTTGAACAGAGTTCAGTTACTATAATACAATCCTCAGAAAACAAAGATGAGTATGTAAGGATCCCCTGCTTGGCTTTAACACAGTATCTTAGGGTCTGTTGCTATTTCTCACACCACAACAAATCTGAATTTTACTGAAAGAAATATCCTCATGATTCCTGGGTGCCACACCCTAAATCAAAAGGACTACCAGAAACATACCATGGCACATATCATGTCTCAAGGTGGAACCATCATTTTTCCTGTCTCTTCTCTACTATGATGAAGATTCACCTGACAATTTAGTGACTTCATCCAACCTTTCAGCACCTCACTGCAAGCAGCAATTCAGAAACAGGGGTCCTCAGAGTGGTCTTTCCGGAACTGATAGACACTCATTTCACAATTTTTCTCTTTATACTATGGATATATACCCAAGAAAGGTATTCATTTAGAAAACATTAAAAAGTATGTGAAATTTGCCTAGTTTAGCTGTGACTGGATAGTAAAGGTGATTCTGACAAATTTGCTATCTTTAACGATGCAGTTGTAGTAGAAAGTTGAGTAACTTCTCAACTATTAAAAAGATAATCACTCACATCCAAAGACAAATGGAGAGGTACATATGATGGGAACTGGCTCCAATGTCAGGAAATAGACACACTGAGCTTGGACCCGAAATTCAAGGTCATGGATAGGCAACTTTGCACTTAAAATTCTAAGGCTCCAAACTGAAGAAAATAAATCTAAAAATTTGTTGATCCTCAACTTGCCTTAATAAAATTTATAAATTCTGAACAGAGACCATCTGTTCCATGGGGAAATTGATTTCTTTCTTCTCCTGAGTTGTCACTGTTACCCACAAGAGAAAGCTCTGGTTGAAATTCCTGATGAAATTCCCCTAATAAAAAAAGAAGAAAAAAACATGATTTAATGAACAAATACAGTCCAGATGATCCTCAATATATTATCTATTTCAATCTCCTCTCATTTCTTCTATGTAGGTCCCAAGCTTTCTCTTTTCTGAAGGATGTGAAGATGAAAAAAAGGAAGAAGAGGGGAGAAAAAAATAGAATGGCAAACTCAAATAAACTTCAAAGTCAAGACCTCATAAGTTCCTACTGAAAGAAAAGGAAGTTCCCCTTATTTTTATTTATTTATTTATTTATGCATACAAGAGCTGGGGTGTAGGCCAGAGGTGCGGGGGAGGGTTGTAGTGTAAGGATTCACCAGAGACAGAGTGGGGAGCAAAACAAGCAGAGCTACTGAAATACACTGTGAGGGGAGCAGCAGGTGAAACAGGAGAGGTCTACTGCAACATGTAGGTCACCACCCTGGCCAGAGATAGAACTCGTGCAGCAGAGGCTGCCCATAGCTTCATAGTGCTGCGACTTAACCCCTTGCACCACAAGGGAGGCCCTTCCTCTTATTTTTTAAGGAGCAGAGAAAAGAAAACATAAAGAAGAGGGCTTTTATGCTCTCACTGATGTATAACGAGTAAATATTTCAAATTCAACAATTCAATAAATGTTTACTGAGCAACTACTAAGTGGCAGGAATTATGCTAAAGATTTTAGGGATTAAAAAATTAGGCAAACCTGACTCCGGTACTTAAGCAATAAACAATACTAAGAAAGAGTGTGGACTGGAAATAAGACAAGAACCCGAAAATCACAGTAACACAAGATGTGATAAGGGCCACAGAGAGGGAAAGCACTCTCAAAGCACATCCAGCTATAGTCTGCTGCTGAGGCAGGTGGAGGAGAACAACAAGCAGATTTCTTCTCTCCGATCTTAACACTAAAAAGGACCCAAGTAGGGTCAGCTTTTAGGACTCCTAAACAGAATACCCATTCCTAAAAAGGGAGGGGGGGACCTCACAAGTAACAAATTATAAAATTGTTTCATTTTTAAAATTTGTTTAAAGTCTTACCTACTATAATGTAGAAGGTGACAAACCTTATCTAAATTAATAAGTTGGTAGTTGTGCTTTTTGGATAAAGCATACAGTTTAAGGCAACATGCAGTTTCAATCATAATTTTAGATATACATAAATGCTAAGTTTAGTTGTTAAACATAAAAATGTAACCATAAGAAGTGAAAACAAACACTAAAGTTTGAGTTGGTTTTAGTGGCACTCCCATCACTGAGAGTATGCTGCTAGGGAGATAATCTGCATATGAATCTGGTCCTAACCATTCATACAGCTTGAAATAATCTCTGCCACAAATCACTAAACATTAAATTTTAGTCTTAAAAAAATTACTGATCAAAGAACAGCAATCAAAAAAAAAATAGTGCCATAAATGTATAAACAAGTGAGGGCTTCTCACCATGAAACATATTAGTAGGATTTCCAAAGTTTGAAAGATATAGGGTGGTCAGTGATCATTTATTGATTATTAACAAACCATAGAATTTTGGAGCTACAGAGGACATTAGAGGCTATCTAATCATCTAGATTTTGGGTAAGAGAATTAAGGTCAATTGACTTGTCCAAGGTCAACTAGATTCCAAAGACATATCTCAACTACATTTCCCACCCTCAAGCGTGGTTAGATATGGCCACATAACCAAGTCCAGCTTGTAAGCCATGTGCATTCTTTCTATGCCCAGCCAATAAAAACCTTCAGTGAGAAAACCCCCGTGCTCTTCCTCCTGTGACTTAAAACATATGGACTTGGAAGCTTTGCAAGTCACAGGCAGTAGAGTGACAGGATGAAAGTATCTTGGGTCCTTGAATCACTTCTTGGAAGAGTTTACCTGCCAAACACTAACTCCCAGGTAGATTTAATCTGAATTGTGTTGAGACAATGATTTTATGAGTTACAGTAGCTACAGTTGTCATATATTATACATCTACATTCCAATATTTTCTTTCTGACAAAGGATTTACAGTATCTTGTATATATCTTCAGAATAAGAACAGTTCTACTACTTTCTAGCTATATGCTCACTGGCAAGTTACCTAAACTTGCTGAGTCTTAATTTCCACACCTATCAACTGGAGATGATCAGAATACTCATTTCAGACATTTGAACTTTCAATGGGTTCACATCATGGATTAACATAGTACCAGTACCTGGTACGTAGGAAATATTCAATAAACTTTAGCTATTATTATTGTCAGATTTGTGCATATTTTAAACATAGCATTTGAAAGTTAAAAACAAATTGTTCTCCCCATCTTTCATTTTCAGACCTTTAATGGGGCTAAGGTGATGACATGAGTCCTCCTTAACAATCTGTTCTTCTTCCATGATGTTTGACATTGGCACATTGAGGCTAACAACATCTTCATCAGAAGGCTAAAAAGAAACAGTGCATTTCTTCACTCAGAGAGATAAAGGTAATTCTGTGATTAAAAAAATACTGTGATTTTCAAAAACATAATATTAAGTAAAATATGCCAGATACAGAGAAGAACCCTACTTAAATAAGTCTAAAAACAGTCAAAACTAATCCCTGACATTTGAAGTCAGAAGGGTGAATGCCCTGCAGTGGGGGTGCCTCATGAGTGGGATTCCGTAAATGTTGGTAAAGTTCTATTTCTTGAACTGGGTGTGTTCATTTTGGGTAAATTCTTCCAGTTACCATTCATGTACTTCTCTGTACATATATTTTGGATTTTTGTTTTTCAGTTTTGATAAGAAATATTTGACATAGAACATTACATTAGTTTAAGGCACACAGCATGTTTCGATACATGTAAATACTGCTAAATGATCCCCACAATAAATTTAGTTAAATTCATCACCTCATATACTTAGATTATTTTTCTTGTGAGGAGTACTTATAAGATCTATACAAAAAAGAAAAAAAAAAAGGGCCCAATATAATCAAGTAAGGGTTTCTCACTTGATATCAAATCTCATTTGATCATAAATCTTACCAGGATTTCTGAAGTATGCAAATCCACAACAGAGCACTGGTAGCTGGAGTCACCATGCTGTGTGTTATATGATAGCTTATCAATCTTAGGGCTTAAGATTCTTAGAAAAAGAAGTGTGTACCTTTTCACCACCTTTACCCCACCCCCACTCAACCTTTCTTTGACAACCACCAATCTGTTCTCTGTTTCTATGATTTAAGCTTTTGGATTCCATGTTTAAGTTTTACTTTGTGAAAATCCACAAAGCTAATAATCATGTTCTTTTCTTTACATGTGCTTTGAGTTAAAATTCTGTCAGACACCTGGTATTTTCTAAAATAAAAGACATTCTCAGGGCACTAAAAAGGACTGTCACACTAGCCTTAAATCTAATCAATCGTTTCAATAGCAAGGATATTCTGAGATCTGACAACAATACTAATTGACAAAAACTAGTAAAGTTTCATGCAGTTAGTCACAAAAAGCAGGCAGTCAACCTCTGAGACTATCTCATTTATTTATGTTGCATCTTATGTGCAATATTAAAATTAAACTTTGATTTTTTTTTCTCATTTTAGGCTGAGGAAATTGTATTAAATATATAGAAGTGCTGATGACTGTTGAACTCAGAAGGAAGATATGTGCTACAAAATATTCAGGATAAGGCTTTAATTTAGTAACCAGAGTTAGTTCTCTCTGTGGGTCTTGTTTCCCACATTAGCTGACAAAGATTTTTCAGATAATCTATGATTCTTTCACAAATAAAATATGGAGTCTCATTTATTTACCAGTGTTTCCACATAAGTGTTGCTATATGGTGAAAAGCTTTCCAAATAACAGGGGTCAGGAAACTCCACAGAACACATTTTGTTTACTGTTGGGCATGTACACAAATCACTCAGAAACCAGCAGAAAACAAATGTGCATTTTCGTCATTATACAGGACTTCATTGAGCCCCAATATTTTCCTTGTTTAAAGAAAGCAAGTTTTAAATTCTTAGTGCTAAATCAATTAGACAATGGTAACAGCCAAAGAATAGGAAGGGGTGTGATTTTTGAACATCATAATGAGATACAAGTGGAGAGCAAGATTAATTGGCTGCAGATGATAACAAATTTGCCAAACAAAGTGAAAATAGAGAGCTACATAAGAAAATTCAGAACCTTTGGCATTCTAAAAAGCAAGCTTCTTGGAGGCATTCTCAGGTAATGAGTCTATATTGCAAGACAGGAAAAAGCCAAAGGTAAGTAAGATTTGTGCATTGTCCTTCTTTCCACCCTCCTCCCTTCTTAAAACCTTAACAAAATTCCAAAGATATGGACAGTTAAAAGGGAGAGAATAAACCCTGGGCCTCCTTTTAGAATAGTAGCATCCTATTTATACTAAGTGAGAACAAAAGGATAATGAAGCTCTTTGTGTAATGTTTTATTAATGAACTTAATTATCCTTGGAAGACAGATAAAGGATAAAGCAGAGTCTGTTATAATTTAATAGAAAGTAAGCGTGGGGTGAGTAATTTCTTAAACAATGGCATATTTCAGGGGACTTAGGAGTTTTAATAAAGTTAAAGGGAGATGAATTAAATACAACTTATAAAGCAATGTGTTAAGTATTTTCTCCCCGGAGGAACCACAGCCAGCTATTCATGTGGCTTCATGAAGGTCATTTTCTTTTATTGACACTGGGTTTTTTTTGCCTATATCTTCCTTTTGAAATGCTCTGCATTAGAAAGATGTTAAGTATCCTAATGTTTAAAATACACTGCTTTATAAAGCATTTTGTGAAAAATAAATTCAGATAGCTCTACATGAAACCTTAGAGACCTAGAAAAAACTGGGAAAAGGTATTTTTCCTGGAGTTACGCAAAGTAAAGATTCAGAGAAAATCTAATGACTATGAACAAGGTAATTGAGGAACTTGTAAACACTTAGGAAACACTCGTTTGTGAGGTTCCCTAACTTAACCTCCGCATTTTATACCATTATCTGAACAGAACATAATCTAAGAATTCCAGAAAAACAAGTATTATTACATAAAAATGCATTTCCTGTGGGTAAATCCACTACAATTCGATGTATATTTGATTCCTGAACATTTATGCATGCATGAAACAAGTTTTTCCTACATTATTGTCATTTAAAAATATACACATTTCTAAAAATGCCTCACAGGTATTTACATGTCACTTAGTCATTTCATAATCTTTACTAAGAATATTCTAGATAAGGTAGTAAGCAGCCGGAACCTACTCATAAGATATTTACAAATATTTAAGATGCAAATAAAGCAAACAAACAAAAATAAATAAAGCTAATATTTATATAACACTTAGAGGATTTCAAATTGCTTTCACAAATATTATCACAAACTCTCATGCAGATGCATGACTGCCCTTTACCAGAAAGGAGTTCAGGAATACAGGCGGACATATTCAGAATCAGAAGGAACAAAATTTGATCATGAACTTACCTCTGTGGCAGATAATCGTTTATCTCCATTATCACTTCCAACACCTGAATCAGAATCCTTCTTGCTGGGATAGATGTCATCAATATTGAATTCATTTAGAAAAAATTAAATTAACAAAGTTCACAATAACACATCAATTTATATTCAAATTAACAATTTTTCTATACAAACTTTTACTATTGCCACAAGGTAACAAATCAGTTCATACCAAAAGAAACTAAAAGAAAGACTTAATGAAAATCAAGCAGCTCTACTGTCTAAATAGATCACTTTGTGTTCAGGATTTCATGGATTTATACTCTAAGTGTCCAGTTTTTTCAAACAGTGAACAAAGTTTTTAATTCTAACATATAAAAAAGCAAAAATCTAATTGACCTAATTGCTTTTACCTTTTATGTTACAAGACTTTTTTTTTTAATCTCTTACAAGGTTATTTTCAATAATTCTGTAAACTTTTATCCAATAACTAAAATCTAATATTTATGAAAATAAAATAATATAGGTATGTATTTTAAGCATTAAATAAAGGTCCATTAGATAGGCTGAGATTTTAAAATCACCATGTTTACTTTTAAGTTCAAAAAAAATTTCTGCAGTGAAGACTTCTCAAAAACAACCTGTTTCTATGTGTTCAGTGTGGGAATTTTGTTCTCTGAAAATTCAAGGCCCAATTTATGTCACACAAAGGTCAAGGACATATGAAAGGAATCTAACGTTTCCATTATAAACAGGAAATGGCAAAAAATCTCCACATAGTGCATTTTAAAAAGAATAAAAAAGGAAAACCTGTAGTTTTTCTTAACAATATCCCGAAGGAATATTAAAAACATCATTAAAAAAGACGTTTGAGCTTGATATGGTTATTTTGACTGATAAATAAAAATACCTATATTTATACTCTAGATCTTATTTATGAGGATATGGGTACATGCCACATTCACAAATATGTAGCACTCATGGGAGATGGGTTATTGATTAGGAAAAGGTAGATGAGATTTGAGAGATGCCAAAATGTCATCCACAGTACACATTTTCTCTATCTTATTCCAAAAGTCATTGACACTCTCAGTTATAAATCTGCACTGGTTGAGTGAAGCAAAGGAATCTGATAAGTTATTTACCTGGAGTGCCTATGCCTAAGCAATTCTAGAGGGGCTTGAGTGATGGCAGACACTCACCTGTCTTCCACATGTTGGTGTGAATGTGGCCTTTCCATTGTGTGTAGATAAAGAGAATCCGCTGTCTTAATCTGGCATGCTTGTATACTTAGATACTTGAATATATGCACTTTGCCCTTGGTGCAAATCTGTGGAGAAATCAATATTACCTATTTTGTAAGCTCAAAACAGAAAGTAAACTTTGGACATCTGACTATATACGTATTTATTTTTTAAAGATTTATTTTTTATTTATACATAGCTGGGGTACAGGCCAGAGGCGCAGGAGGGTGAAAGGATTCACCAGAGACAGAGCAGGGAGCAGAACAGGTAGATGGACCTAAAGCACTGCTGAGGGGAGCAGCGGGTGAGACAGGAGAGGTCTGCCGTACCATGTGGGAATCTCCCTGGTTGGCCGGGAATAGAACCCGTGCTGCAGAGGCTGCGGACAGCTCCACAGCGCAGTGCTCAACCCACTGCGCCACCCGGAGAGGCCCTGACTATATTTTTAATTTTTGCATTTTCATTTTAAGTAACACTAACAATGCACACCAAATTTGATCCCTATAAATTATGTTAGAATTTAAGCAGTCTTTTTCTTCAAATTCTACATTAAATTCTACAGAAAACCGTGCTCAAGCAATTTCTAGTTTTTCCTGCACTAACCCACAAAATTCTAATGGAACTTTATTTAAGTATAAATACTTTAAAAATTATAGAAGTCAGATAACTGCCCTGATAACACTCCAATCCTGAAAGCATATATACTTCATTTTGTTCTCACATAGTTTAATATTTGAACTTGAATTCTTGTCTCTAAATAATCAATAATCATATTTCAGAATGTTTAAGCTCCATTTTCCAGCAAACATTATTAAGGTAAGGATTATATTACTTCCCTTTCAAAGCCACACCCCCTATGCATGTGTGTTAAATTGTAAAATAATCAAGTAAAAATACAATTCTGGGATTGCAATGATCAGAAAAATCAGATCACAGTCAAATGATGGTAAATGGACTTGATGGAGCAGAAGAAAACTTACTGTAGTCAGATTCACCCAAGGAGTTAACATATCTAGAGATTGAGACTGTTCGTGATAATATCTAATATAATATTAATTCAGCAAAATATCCAAAACCCAGCTCTGCCAAGAGATATTGATAGCACATACCATGAGACAACAGAATTGTTGTATGACCCCTCACCTGTGCTGGAGGAGACTGCAAAGGGTTATTCTCAAGCAATAATACTTGCAGTTGCTTCATCTCTCTAAAACAAATGGGAATCACGAGCACTTTATTGCAGGAAAAGTCAAACTTTACCAAGGGAAGATCTACTAGTTCTAAAAGAAAAAACAAACAAACAAACAAAAAAAATAAAAGAACAAACTCAGAAAGTAACAAGATTAAATGACCAAACATTCCAAAAGCAATTTTCTGCTTATCAGGAAAAATATCATGTAGCACGATCAAGATCAGGTCGCATATAAGAAATATATGGCATGTTATATAATATTTTACCAAAGATGACGAGGGATTGCTCATTGGGAGCCCTATTATTATTAATTTGTTGTAGTCCTGATAGGGGCTGAAAACACTTGACATTTACAATATCTATTGTTTAAAAAAGCTTCCCCCCCCCCCCAGAGAAAGCCACTCTGCACAGGACATGGATGCTGTAACTTCAAAACATTTTCAAACAGTACTTGCTAGCACAGAAATAGGCTAATTATAAAATATTATCTATTCAAAGTATCTGAGCTGGCATAATCTCAAAACTAGTTACAAAAAAAAATGTTCATGATTTTCAACTCCATAAAAAATAAATACTATCTAATTCAGAATTTTGCAACAAACCCTGGAATCCTGATATGATGAGACTTCATTCTACTACTTTAAAAAAGTCTTCTGTAGGTCCACAAACAAGACAGAACATTATATTTAGCTTAAAATCCCCACCCAGCGGCATAGTAAACACTCAGTAATCTCAAGCATTCCAACTGACATTGGCAGCTGCTAGAAACAAAGTCAAATATATTTCAGACAGCAAAGGGGCTGAGCGATGCCAGACATGTAGGGTGACATGGGGCAAACCACCAAGTCCAGTGTGAGAGGCTGCAGTGGGTTTACTGCAGCATGGGGCCTCACTATGTTTGTTATGGGACCTGGGGAGGTGGGCAAAACTTTAAAATACTCAAAGAGTTCCAGTGGAGGAAGCACAGACAGCACAGGAAAAAGAGGAACCAAAGTCTCTCAGACACGGGGAGAACTAGCATCACTCCTGCTCCTCCCTCCCCCACTCAGCTATACACTTCAAGTTCCACCAACAAAGATTCTAATTCAGAATTTTGCAACAAACCCTGTAATCCTGATCTGAGGAGGCTTTATTCTACTACTTAAAAAAAAAAAAAAAAGTAGCAACCAGTATCTGCTCTGAATTCAGCTTAACTCGTGAATTATTTGGCATTAAAGAAGGTGTCATGGGACTGAATGTTAGTGCTGACACAGAGCATCAAATTCAGCGGATCAGGTGCACATAGGTGGCAGTGTGAGAGAGACTGAGGAAGAGTATATTTTTTTAATTATCCAAAATCCAATTCTCCCCTCCACCTCTCCAAAAAAGCAGTGTAAGTGACTGGCCCCAGGCCACATTCATCCCGGAGGGGGTCACGGAGAAGAGGGTTTGAGCATCTGGAGGTGGAGCAGAGAGGAGTTGAGCGTGGAGATAAGCTTGGACTCAGGAAAGTGGAAGGGAAAAGAAAGTAATATCCTTCTCACATTGTAGTTTGTTTCTAAAACAGGCATAAGAATTAGGGGGGATTAATATAAGAGGAATTCCTGCAACCACTAAAAAAATAATCTGTCTCTGAATTGATTAATCTTACTTGCTAAAGTTAGGGTAGCAAATCAGTGGCAAAATTTAACTGGAGCCTGGAGCTTCAGAAATTGTCACTTAAAAGGAAAACGTTTTAAAAGTAAGACTAGATTACAAGTGATATTGAACATTTTTTCATATGCCTGTTGACCATTTGCATTTCCTCTTTGGAGAGCTTTCTTTTTAGCTCTCCTGCCCATTTTTTGACTGGATTATTTACTTTGTTTTTGTTGAGTCTCATCAGCTCTTTGTAGATTTTTGTGATAGTCCTTCATCATTAGTGTTGTGTGTAAAAATTTTCCCCCAATCGGTAGGGTGTTTTGGTTACTGTCTCTTTTGCTGTACAGAAGCTCTTTAATTTGATGTAGTCCCAGCTGTTTATCTTTGCCTTCCCTATTACTGCTTTGGGTGATGTGTCTGTAAAGATGTTATTGAGGTGTATGTCATGTAGTGTTTTGCCTATATTTCCTTATATATATTTTATGGTTTCAGGGAAATGCAAATGAAAACTACAATGAGATACCATCTTACACCAGTAAGAATGACACTTATTAAAAAAACTAGCTACAACAAATGTTGGTGAGGATGTGGAGAAAAAGGAACTCTCCTGCGCTGCTGGTGGGAGTGCAAACTGGTCCAACTACTATGGAGAGCTGTGTGGAGATTCCGCAACCTGCTAAAGATGGAGCTTCCATACATATGATCCAGCAATTCCACTCCTAGGTATTTACCCAAAGGACACAGAAACATTAATTCAAAAAGGCACCTGCACCCCTATATTTATAGCAGCACTATTTACAATAGTTAAGCTATGGAAACAACCCAAATGCCCAAAAATAGATGACTGGATCAAGAAGATGTTGTACATATACACAATGGAATATTACTCAGCAATCAAAAAAGATAAACTCATGCAATTTGCAGCAACATGGATGGAGCTGGAAGGGATCATGCTCAGCGAAATAAACCAGCAAGGAAAAGAAAAATACCAGCTGGTCTCACTCATAGCAGGGATTTAGAAAACATAATAAGGGACCAGGAAAAAAACTAATTATAATAAAGTAAAAATCAAAATCAACAAGCAACTATAAACCAGAGACACACTACAGGGAAGTGGGGGGGGGAGGGAGTAAGATCAAAACAAGGGGGGGTGGGAATTGTATGGGGAATATAACCAAGATGAAAATACATACATTGTGCAAAAATGAAAAATGATGTATAAAATATATTTTAAAAAAGAATTAAAAAAAAAGAAATAAAAGAAAGTAAAACTAGAGGACTAAGTTCCTGGAAAACACAGCAGGAAGCAAATTACAGGTAAAGGAAATGAGGAATTGTTTTCAAAATGATTCTTTTATTTTTAAATATTTATTTATTCAAGAACCGGGGTACAGGCCAGATGAATGGTAGGATGAGAGGATTCACCAGAGATAGAGCAGGGAATAGAATAAGCAGACTGACGAAATACACTGCTGAGGAGAGCAGCGGGCGACAGAGAAGAGGTCTGCCGCGCCATGTGGTTTTCTCCCTGGCAGGCTGGGATCGAACTTGCCCTGCAGAGGCTGCGGATAGCTTCACAGAGCTGTGCTCGACTGCCTGTGCCACCAGGGAGGCCAAAAATGATTTTTTTAGTGTCCATTTGGAACACAATTCCATCTTCGTTTAGGAAAAGAGAAATAACTCCAAGTCAGAGAAGGTCAAAAGAAACAGAAAAGAAAAAGGGAGAAAGAAAACATATATAGCAATTTTCATTTCTTACTCCTGCTGAAAGAGGGACAATAAATGACTGTACTTCTCTGTCCAGTCTGGTCCTAGAAAAAAGTATGGTCTCCTCATTGCAGAAGCTGTAGTAAAACCACCAGAAAATCAGAATTGAGTTAGGATAGATCCCAGGGGTGATGAAGCCACAAACACCCCCTCAAACTGAAAGCATATGAGGAAGGGTATTCAGGGAGGAAAAACAAGTAAATATGGAAAGTCTTTAAATTCAAGGCCTGAAAGTATTATCAATGCTCTTTTGTTAATAGAGTTCTCCAGAGTGAAGTGAAAAGGAACTTTATATTCAGGAAATTATTTAGAAAGAAAAAAAAGATTTTCCAGTAAACTGAAGTCTTAACTTTAAGTGTATTTTAAAATACTGAAACTGAGAAAACATAGTTATGGAAAGTATAGAACTTTGTAACTGGTCTTTTTTTAGGCAAAGGAATGCTTTTAAGGTAAGAATAGGTAAGAGAGTAAGGAGAAACAAAAACCTAGATTTTGCAGATGGACTTTCTTCCTTGTGTTTCTAAATGCTCACAGGCACCTATAAAATGATTAAGTTAAAGCTTCCCCTTGAAGAGGAGAATTTGACTATTTCTGATAATTTCTCAATGATTAACATGAGAGATTAAATTTAAAGGAATGTTTTTCCTAACACTGTGAAGGGTTATACGCTTATAAATTTGCTGTTAGTAAGAGTTTTCCATTTGTACTTGCTCAGGCCAAGAACAACAATTTCATAAATTCAAAACATGATTACACAATGATAAAAAAGAAAAATTAAGGTTTTTATGCCATTTCATCTCAGGTCATAAAGTAATGAATATGCTGAGATATTTTCTAATTTTACTTTAAAATGCTAGTCAGCATGATAAAGGTAAAGATGGTTGACTCTTTAACCTTCCATCCATGAAGCATGTAACATTTTACAAAGTTCTTCCCCTTTCATGAGCTCATTTTCTTGCCTTGAATAATGAAGCATTTCAAGAGAAACATCAAGGTGTAGAAACAAAATAATAAAAATCAGGCAGCTTTCAAATAGCACATTAGCAAGAGAGTAACCAAATGACAATTGTTTCCAAATATGCACTTTTGCTTTGAGGTATATTTTTTGAGTATGCCTACAGAAATGAAATTATGAATAAAATGAAAATGCAACTGATGGGAATTGAGGTGGTGTTTGAAAACCAGAGGATGTTTTGGAGAAAACATTCAATATTCCGCTACTGCTCATTGACTGATCCTTCACCGATCAGGTCCAAATATGAAATATGAAATTCAGATCCACCATCTTTAAGGATGCTTGTCAAAGTTCTTTTTTAAAAAGATTTATTTATGCATACAAGAGCTGGGGTGCAGGCCAGAGGTGCAGAGAGGTGAGAGGATTCACCAGAGACAGAGTAGGGAGCAGAACAGACAGATCTACTGAAATACACTGCTGAAGGGAGCAGCCAGTGAGATAGGAGAGGTCTCCTGCACCATGTGGGTTAGCTCCCTGGCTGTGGATAAAACTCGAGTTGCAGCGGCTGCCTATAGCTTCATAGTGCTGAGACTTAACCCCCTGTGCCACCAGGGAGGCCCTGCTTGTCAAAGTTCTTAATGGTGCAAAATTTCTGAATAAATACATCTTTTTACTTGAATTCCGATACAATGTACCAGAGGGACATACTATAGAAGCCAATGACTTTCAGGAGGAAGCTTGCGAGTCTGGTTGTCTGCAGGGATTCCGCACTAGTGCTGGCAGCAGGAGCAGTGCTCCCAATGCTAAGACTCTGGGGCCACCCTTGCTGCAGCCTTAAGAAAGTCACCAAAACTATCAGTAACATCAATCCAGATATCACTTTAGAAGGGACAGTGCCCTCACCTGAACAAAGGACACAGACACCTAAGGGGTCTCTACTAGGGTTCCCAGCTCCCCAAAGTCAGAAACCTCAACAGTTAGATCTGCAGGATTAAGCACATCAACTAACCCGCTGTCTGATATTCCAGAACATCACACATCCATACCAAAAATGACTCATGTTGTCTCCTGTGAGCCTGTGAGTCCCCAAATTCATACATTGGAGTTCTAACACCCAGTGCCACTGTATTTGGAGACAGTGTCTTTAAAGGAGTAATGAAGTTAAAATGAGGTCATTAAGATGGGGCTTCAATCCAACATAACTGGTATCTTTATAAGAAGAGAAATAAGGACAATGACACACAAGGAAGACTATCTACAAGCTAAAGAAGAAGCCATATCCGCCAACACCTTGATCTCACATTTCCAGTCTCCAGGACAGTCAGAAAATAAATCACTGTTATTTCAGACACTCAGTTTATGCTAGATTGTTATGGGAGCCCAAACAAACTAATACACACTGTCACACATGGCCTTTTAATGTTTCTGTTGCTGTACCCCTTGTTTAAAATGACAACTTAATTTTTCTGTTATCTGCATGTAAACTTCAAATAGTAATTAAATGAATAGGTGTACAAATACAAACATCCACCTTCTTCACAGAAATGAATCAAAATCAAGACTCCCATATTACTAATTTTTTTCCTCTTTCTTTTCTTACCTTGTGGTAAAACTTTAAGGTAATTTCTTCTGACATTCAGTTCTCGGAGAGATTTCAATTGTCCAATCTGCTGGGGCAAGGCTGTGATCTCATTGCAGCTGACATCCTGTAAAAAAAGAGAAGTCAAAGATGGGCCTTTCTAGGAAATCAGGGCTTTCGTGTGAAATCTCCATAAGAAATTTAAATATTCGGACAATTACACAGGTATACTTTATAATGATCTCCATGTCCTCAGCCAAGTAAGACTTAGCACAGAGAAGGGAAGTTTAAATTGTTAAGTACCCCTAAGGAGAGAACAAGGGAGGGAAGACCCTATTAGCATTTGATGGGGCAGCCAGGGTCACATGCTTCAATGTTAGTTAATTCTGATAACAAACCCAACATCTCTAGTCTAACATTCACAGATCAGAAAAAGTGGGCTCAGGAATGTCAAGTCAGTTGTCGAAGACTTGCAAGAGCCAGATTAATGCTCAGAGGGAAATACCAGCTCCCTGTTAAGCCACTATCCCGAAACACCTCTAAACAGAAGATTACGCATCCTACCTTACAAATGCTCACATTTTACAGTGAAAAACTACAAATACTGATGTACTTGAATGCACTATTTAGAGTGTAGTTCTTCTCTTTTTAAAGATTTATTTATCTATTTTTATACAAGAACCAGATGCATAGGCCAGATGTGTGGGAGGGTGAGAGGATACACCAGAGCCAGAGCGAGGAACAGAACAGGCAGACTGACGAAATACACTGCTGAGGGGAGCAGCGGGAGCAACAGGAGAGTTCTGCTGCGCCATGTGGGACCCTCGCCAGCCGGCTGGGATCGAACCCATGCTGCAGAGGCTGCGGGCAGCTTCACAGCGCGGCGCTCAACCGCCTGCGCCACCAGGGGAGGCCCTAAAGTGGAGTTCTTACCAGAGGGCTGGAAACGTTGGACCTGAACATCTTTTTTTTTAAAAAGATTTATTTACTTATGCATACAAGAGTGGGGGTACAGGCCAGAGATGTGGGGGGTGAGAGGATCCACCAGAGGCAGAGTGGGGAACAGAACAGGCAGACCAACTGAAATGCACTACTGAGGGGAGCAGCGGGCAAGGCAGAAGAGGTCTGCTTAATCATGTAGGTTTCTCCCTGGCTGGAGGGGATCGAACTTGTGCTGCAGAGGCTGTGGACTGCCTCATAGTGTGGTGCTCAACCCCCTGCGCCACCAGGGAGGCCCTGGACCTGAACATCTTTAATACATTTTACAAACAAGACTGTGGGGTGTGTGGATTGTCTCTGTTTTGTCTCTATTAATAATTCATTGAGACAACATTTTTACACAGGTAAAATGGGTAATGACATTTATAATATCATATAAAATAATATTACATAGAAGATACTATCATATCTCTCCCAATCTCACTCTTCCTCTTGTCTCTGCTAACTCCTACCTTGCTCTCCACCCCCACCCCAGCTACTCCTTTGGTCTAGACCTGCTTTACCTCTCAGCCAGACACTATCATGTTCTTGATTGGTTCTAGACATCAGCCTGTTCCTTGGATCCATCCTTCAGCTGCCAGAGAATAAACTTTACTATGTCATTCCCTACTAAAATATTTGCAAGAACTCTTCAAGAATTACAAGATAAAGTTTACAAGATAAACTCCTAAACAAAGTCCAGGATCTACAACTCCAATCTATCTATTTCTCCATCATTCTCTCTGTATGCCTTCCCTTGTACCTTATATTCAAGCCATGTTACTACTGTTTGCAGTACCCAGTGTGTACCAAGTTGTTTCACAGCCCCAAAATTTGTTGGATTCTTTCCTTGCCTGATATGCCACTCCCCAATATTTCCCTCTTGTTCCACCTAGTCATTTTTCAAGACTTAATTCAAGCTTTGCCATCTCTCAAACCTATCTGCAGATTCCGCCACCTCTCCTACTCTAACACCCAGGGGAATATACCACCTTTTCTTTGTGGCCCTACAAATAACCTGTTACCAAAATCATCTTCTCAAATGTTGCCTTTTCCTAAAATCCTTTGGACTCATAGATTGAAAGACCATATCTCATTCACTTCATCCTCCTAGTGTTGAGAATAAAACCAAGGAGAAATCAAGGCACTGATAACCAACAAGATAGCCAGTCATATTGTTGACACTCTGTGGTGTTCCGGCTCATTCTGTCTCTTAGCTCATTCTGTATCTCCAGGATACTCCTACATACACACCTAAATACTTGCAGGTCCTGCTTGGCATTACAGACCCACAGAGAGATATTTTGGCTATCAATAATACCAGTAAGGTCAAGTCCATAAATATCCCATGTCACTTTGGAATCCATAGACACTCACCCTCCTTCTTCTCCTTTTAGAAGGCAGCAGAGGGGCCTCCCTGGTGGCGCAAAGGGTTAGGATGCAACCTATGAAGCTATCCGCAGCCACTGCAGCATGAGTTTGATCCCCGGCCTGGGAGCAACCCACATGGCACAGCAGACCTCTCATGACTCACCCGCTGCTCCCCTCAGCAGTGCACTTTGGCCAATCTGCCTGTTCTGTTCCCCACTGTCTCTGGTGAATTTTCTCACCCTCCGCACCTCTGGCCTATATCCCAGCTCTTGAATGCATAGATAAAAATAAATCTTTAAAAAAGAATAGAAGGCAGCAGAAAGTCTTGCTGCAGAAATAATTTGATGTTTACTCAAAGGAGACCAACTCATCATCAACCTATCCTCTGAACCCCCACCCCCGTCTCCATGTAAGAGCAGAACAATGTAGAATCCAGTGGATTCCTACTCTCTAACCTCATCTCATCTAAAACTCCTCAGGTGACCTCACTCCTAAGGTCGTGAGGAGGGTGCTAAATGACTATTATTTTATGAAGAAGAGCAATATCATTCCTGCTAAAGAGAATGAAGCTTCCATCTACAGAGGCTGAGTGTGCAGTATGCGACTGACACTTCATACTTGTCTGTGCTCAGCTCAGTCTGCCAGGGGTAAAGTGGCAGGGGATGAGTTCAAAACACTAGGTGCTCAACAGCATCGCCCCCCAGGATAGCTGTTACTGCATCACTCCTGGCCCAGAAAAGTCACTGAAAATATTATGGAAAACATCCCTAGTGTTTAAAGAAATAACAAACCCACAAGCACATCTGCAGAGGCAAAAAGGTCTAAGGAAGTAATTACAGAATTAGGAGGTCCAGAGATTTTTCAGTTACTCTAAGCCTCTCTCTAAGTCAGTAAATGGCTGTGCTTTTCTGAATATACTCCCATATATGAGAAGTAAAAAGTGAAAAGCCAGCTTTCTCCAATTAGTGGCATTTGATCAGTCACTGAAGTCAAAAACCAAATCCTTTCAATGAGAGCAGTATCTTTCTTTGTTTAACTAGATACACATAAGAAAAAGACAGTATCCCATTCTATTTTTAAAAGAGCCCTTACACAAATGATACACAGGTAAGCCCTAGTAACATATGAAGTTAAATCATTTTATTGGACTCATGACCAAGCACAGTCACCCTGGGATGGCTGATGGGGCAGGAGGGGAAAGGGCAGTAAGTCAGCAGGGAAAGTCAATGGGAATTACATTCCACCTCGAGAGAGAATTTATGCTATTGACATCTAACTTAAGTCTTCCTAAGTCTGTGTGTGACAGTACGAGAAAGACCCTTTTGTAGTTCATGAGCATTACAGATTTCCAATATACAACTAACAATTTTCAGAAGTTTCAAAGGCGTATTCAAAAGATATCATTTTCCTAAAAAAATCAAGAAGAGGGAAGCAAAAAGGTATAGATATATTTAAGCACATAACTCTTGTCTTTTTTTTTTCATCATAATACTTTATTTTTTTTTAAATAATAAATTTTATTTTTATATTCCCCCATACAACTGCACATGCCCCATTCTGACCCCAATCCCTCCCCTCCCGGCCCCCACCCCCCAAAAAGTGTCTCTGGTTCATAGTTTTTTTGTTGATTTTGATTTTCACTTTCTTATAGTTATTCTTTTTCCTGATCCCTTATTTAAGTTTTCTAGATTCCTGCTATGAGTGAGACCATCCGGTATTTTTCTTTTTCTTTTTGGCTTATTTCGCTGAGCATGATCCCTTCCAGCGCCATCCATGTTGCTGCAAATTGCATGTGTTTATCTTTTTTGAATGCTGAGTAATATTCCATGGTATATATGTACCACATCTTCTTGATCCAGTCATCTATTTTTGGGCATTTGGGCTGTTTCCAAAGCTTAGCTATTGTAAATAGTGCTGCTATAAACATAGGGGTGCAGGTGTTCTTTGGAATTGATGTTTCTGTGTCCTTTGGGTAAATACCTAGGAGTGGAATTGCTGGATCATATGGAAGCTCTATGTTTAGTAGGTCCAGAAATCTCCACACAGCTCTCCATAGTGGTTGGACCAGTTTGCATTCCCACCAACAGTTAAGCACATAACTCTTAACTTGGAATCTCCAGAGGTAAATTTCAGACTTCGTGCATTCTACAGTCACCTTGCATTTTTGGTTACCTCCTTGTTAGCGAGAAACTAGGGTATACTAATTTCCTTATATACTAAGGTAACTATTTTCAACATAGATTTCTAAAAGAATGGCTTTATCGAAGAAAATTGGCTTGCCTTAGCTATATTTAAATACTTACCTGCAGGGAAAGTAGTTACCCAATTTACTGTTTTTGTTTTTATTTTTTTAAGAATGTCACAAAATGATAAAAACAAGTTTTTTCCTCTAACTTACAGGACAGGACATCTGCAGACAATTAGAAACACAAAGTGCAATTGTCCATTCACATTTTGAAGGGTATACAGGGAGGGTCAAATTATTTTTGTAGGACTTTGTACTGCTGTCAGCTACTTCCTGTCCTGCCAAAATAATGGGGGAGAAAGCCAAGGCAGACATAGCACACAAGCAAGATAGAAACTTTTCATTTCTGTATAATCAATATTGCTAAAACTATGCAAACTCTCCTCCTTTGCAGTTATTGAACCTTGCCAATTTAAAAAAGGTTACGAATTTCATCACATACACACACACACACACACACACACACACACACACACACACACACACACACACCCAAAATAGGTAATTATGTCTCATTTAGATAGGAATGAGGA